AAGGAAGGAAGGAAGGAAGGAAGGAAGGAAGGAAGGAAGGAAGGAAGGAAGGAAGGAAGGGAAAGAAAGAAGAAAGAGAAAGAGACAGAGAGAGAAATGAAGGAAGGAAGGAAGGAAAAGAAAGAGAAAGAGAGGAGGGGAGAAAGGGAGGGAGGGAGGGAGAAAGAGGAAGGGAGAGAGAGGAAAAGGAGGGAAGGAGAAAGAAATAAGGCAAAACAGAAAGAGAGAAAGAGACAAAGGGCAGAAGAAAGGAGAAAGAGAGGGAGAAAGGGAGGAAGGGAGGGAAGGAGAAAAAGGGAGAATGAGGGAGGGAGAGGGAGAAAAGGAGGGAGGGAGAAACAGAAATAAGGAAAGAAGGAAGGAGAGAAAGAAAGGAAGGAAGGAAGGAAGGAGAGAGAGTGAGGGAAGGAGGGAGGAAAGGAGAAAGGGAGAAAGAAAAACAAAGAAGGGAGGGAGGGTGGGAAGGATATGTTGAGCATCAGGTGAAAACTACTACTCTGGGGGAAGGGTCACCTGAATTCCATTTTCTTTTTTTTCTTTTTTTTTATTTTTTTAATTTTTTTTACTGAATTCCATTTTCATATGGTTTTGAATGCATCCCAACAAAATCACTGAGAGAATTAGCACACGCATGAAGAAAAGAGAGATGCCACAACACAAAACCATTTATGAGCCCTCTTTTAGCACCAGAGATGGAGACATGCCCAGAGCCCTGGGGCCAGAGCTGAACGGGAGGTGTGGCCGAGAGGCCTTGCATGGCATGGGGGCAGGAGGGGGGTTAGGCACAAGCCCTGCTAGAGGAATGCGACAGACAGCCCTCACTTCCACCTCTACAGAGGGCCTCTGGGTATCTTCACTGCCCTCTGTCCCCCTCACAGTATGTGTGTGTGTGGGGGAGGGTCCCGCCAGGGGGGCTGGGCACGTGCAATTTGCTTGCAATGACCCGGAGCACCTGCACAAGGTCAGAAGAACTTCTAAGCCTCTCCCTGCCATCATATCTCGAAGCTGAGAGCATCCCCTGTTAATTACGTCCTGTCCCTGTCCACAAGAAGCAAATGCATCCTGCCACCTTGTTCCCCTTAAGATATCCCTTTTTTCATTCCATATGAATTGATTATCTGTAACAAAACAGTGCGAGAAGAAATGTACACTTGACGTGAAGAGACTTATTTTGAAGACCGGGGAAAATGATGCTGAATGCCTATTAGCCTGTTTGAGGCAACGACTTCATGTCTCTCCAAGTGATTTTCCCAGCAGGGAGAGAAATAATGGAAAGGCTTAATGTCTGGGTCACTCAGAGGGCTGAGGTAGAAAGGACTCGGATGTCTCTCTCGTCAGTCTTACCATCTCTGCAAGTCTCCCTCTATAGCTTTCTTGCAGCTCTTTTTAGGTCCAGCGATTGCTCAGAAATACCTGGTGTCCCAAAAGCTTCATTTTCTGTAGTTCTATCCTATTCAACTCCTGTGCTCAAGGCACTGAGCTGAGAACTGGAACAGAATGCAAGGATGAGGAGACTCGCAGTCCTTTCATTCAAGGAGGCTGTGACCCAGTAGCGGGACAAGAGAATTAATCTATCAACCACAATACAAAGCACGCTAAGGGAAGAGCCAGAACGTGAAAAAATAAGCCAAACACTATGGGTACATAAAGCGGGAGGAAAGAGTGGCCAAGTGGATGTCAGGTAAGGCTTTATTAAGGAGGGAGAGGAGCCCTGAAAGTAAGGATTCTGTCAGGAGAATTTGGGGTTGGGGAAGCCATGCAAGCAAAGGCATGGAATAAAGGATGCAAAACAAATGTTAGGCAGTAATGAACTCTAGGGTAAATACAATAGAGCCGGAAGAGACACCTGCAGAGGAAAGGTGAGGTAGGGCTGGCTGTATGTGTCAGGATGGTGACAATGATTAATTTAAGAATGGGGAGCACGGGGCTGGGAAGGTGGCTCAGTGGTAGAGCGCTTGCCTTGCATGCCTGAGGCCCTGGATTCGATTCCTCAGTACCACATAAGCAAAAAGAAAAAAAAGCAAGAAGTGGCGCTATGGCTCAAGTGGTAGAGCGCTAGCCTGGAGCTGAAGAGCTGAGGGACAGCACCCAGGCCCAGAGTTCAGGCCCCATGACTGGAACCCCCCCAAAAAAAACAAGAATGGGGAGCAGCTGAGTGCTATTAAAGAGAACAGTGCTAAGAGCAGAGCCATTATTCAGAAAGATGAGATTTCCTCTTTTTTATTCTTTTTTAGCCATGTGGATGACTTGAATAGAAGGTTCTCTAGAGGGCCTTAGACCTTTAGATAACAAATGGCCACACCGGTTCTGTGCTGCCAGCTGCTGTCAATAGAAGCACCACCAAGTTTTGTCCCGAGCCCGCTGTGGTCTGGGTGATCTTTGGTACATCATCCCAGGTGGTGACATGGCCTCCAAGTCCCACCACAGACAAGGCTACCGGCGTCTTTGTCCTCTAGGCCACACTTCGGGTGCGGGATGCTGTCGCACCACACGGCTCCCATCCTACGTGCCAGGCTGAGCGATGGCACACCACTGCGTTTGCCACTGCATCTTTCCCGCTTAGAATGCCAGGGCTGTGGTGTTGGATGCTACGAGACACCACCTGGTCTTTCTTCTTCAGGGCCGGACATTCACTGAAGCTGGCTCAAGTATTTGGCCAGGCAGCCTTGTTGCTTGCCAGACACTGCCCTGTCTTCCCAGAAGTGAAGTGCCTCAGCCACTGTCATGACCTGGGGGAAAGTGCCTTGGGGACACTCCTGTTCAGCTCTCCATCCCACAGACAACATCCTGTGATGACTGTCTTGGGTTCCATAAACCATGTTGGACACACTCATGTGTGGACTTCTCTTGAACATGTTCGGAAATATACCTGCCTGAGATTTTTTTTGTTTTTTGACAGTCCTGGGGCTTGAACTCAGGACCTGGGCACTGTTCCTGATCATCTTTTGCTCAAGGCTACCGCTCTACCACTTGAGCCAAAGCACCACTTCCGGCTTTTTCTGCTTATGTGTTACTGAGGAATCAAGCCCAGGGCTTCATGCATGCTAGGCAAGCCACCTTCCCAGCCCCTACCTGAGATTCTTGACCTCAGTGTGTACCTCTACATCTCCAGATGGCTTTTTGGAGGTACCCAAATTAGCCTCGAAGCACTAGGGTCCTGATTCTATACATTCTTACCAACACTTATTATTTTCCATCGTTCTCCACATATGGTTTCACACACACACACACACACACACACACACACACACACACACACACACACACACACACACACACACACACACACACACACACACACACAGAGGATCTCAGGGTTATAAGAAAATCCAGACTTCTGGTTAACCCTTAGTTTACCTATATGCCCCAGTAGCTTTTGTGTATGTATTTGTTGAAGTTTTAATTTTGTTCAGTAAAAGATGAGAGGAAGGAAAAAAGAGAGGGAGGGAGGAAGGAGAAAGGAAATAAAGTTATTGAACAGCGACTTACCAACAGAGATCCTACTACAAAGAACTCAGTAACCATAAAATATTAACCTATTAGGTAATGTACATTGCTTCTTTAACATGAACCAAGATTTAGAAAGAGTTTGAGTCCAATAGATGTTGTTTATAATGTACATCCTCGATGTTGTGAAAGCTGTAATTGCTAAGGAATAACATTCTCTAGAAGTGGTTTACCAACAAGGTCTATGTGAATTTTATTGGGTACAGAGAAAGGAATGAACATTTTATCTGTTTTCAATGATCTGTTCTAATAGAATAAATGAGAAAACCTAAATTATGGCAAGTTCCCCCATCACTTATTTGGGACTTGAAGATACTGTGAGTCTTGGGCTTAAAGGGGCCATCACTTTCCTTGTGGTGCCAGGGCGACCTGGGCATGCGCATTTTGCTCATGAGCGGAGGCTCCATAGAACTCTGAGGTCAGGTGTTGGCTGGGGGCTGTGTGGTGGGAGGGGAGTTTCTTAGCGAAGTTGTTTTTGAGCAGCTCTGCTTTGAATTTTTCCCCTCTAAAGTTTGGCATACTCATTACAAACAAAAAGTATTCTTGTTGGAAAGGGAAAAAGGCAATGAAATATGTCTCCGCTTTATGCATTTCCCCCCTAAATTGACTTACTCTAGCAAAGCAATTAAGCAGACGTTTGTCAAAGTCATCTGTCACTCTGCCTCCATATTGTACTTCTCCAATCATGTACCGAACCGTACTCCACGAAACACCCTATATTAAAACACAAAGACGGGTTATTCACTGTCAATCCAAACAAACATGTGGGGTCTTTCTCTATGGGGACAGGCCTGAAAAAGCAAGGGCTTGCGAGACTGTTTAAAAATGAGTCATTATCTTATGTGAGTAGCTTGCATGACTCCGGCTGGGGGATTTTCTTCCAAGGAGGGGGTGAAATCTACCATCGTAAGTGCTAGTGGATAGATTTAAAGGGGAGGGTGGAGTATTTTTCACTCTGGGTTGTAATCATCTGTAATACTCATTACAGTCATGTCAAGCTGTTAGAGAGAAAAAAGTTGTGTTTTCGTGAAAAAAGGCGAACAATCAAGTAATCAATGCTTCAATGTTTTTTCCTAGCAATGTATTTTTGAGAATCAGTTCGAAGAACAAATAGGAAAAAAAGATGTATGTGTTCACAAGACTGTCTTATGATGCCATCCTTCCCACTGTATTCTGTGAGCTAACACTCGAGCGACGATTCATTAATTTCTATAGCAATCTCCTGCTAGCAATGCACTTCAGATATTAACGGTTATTTCCCTTAAAACAATTCCTCAGTCCACATGGGATAAAGATATGTGAGAATGCACCACTCTTATTTACTTTTTCTGGGTTAATTTTTTTTTTTTATTTTTTCGGCTAGGTTGCCTTTCAAAGCAACAATTTCAAGGTAACTATTATTTATGTACAGAGACATGATAAATAACTTCGGAATATGAACTCACACAATACCATTTTTCACCAAACCGTCATACTCTTAATTTAATATCCCTTTGTCATTTCGGGGAAAATGATAGTTTGGTTCTAGAGCTCTTCTCTGAGTGAGAGGACATCTATCCTGGCTCAGTGTCACCAGGCCGGTGCTGCAAGGGACCTACAAGGGGAAGGAAGAGCAGATGCGCGGTACAAGTGGGATTTATTGTGCTCTTATTATGCACCATGTACTAAGCTTTCACAAATACCTAACATCTGTATTCCTCACACACTCTATGGCCACCTGGAAACAGGAAATAGGCTCGGAGGCTCGTTAACTCGCCTAGGGCTATACAAAGCCATGATGTGGGAGTAAGTGACAGCTCAGCTTGTACTCCGAGCTCAGTAACCTTGAAGTCTCCCCTCCAACTCTCAAATCTGGTCTTTATCAGTACAATGGGGATATCAGCAGTGCATTCTGTGCCTGTCTCCTGCAAATGTGCACACTTTAGTAAGTAGAAAGCACTACACAGGAATGAGCAATGACCACTGTTAGACATGACCACCAGAGCCAGGCACTAGTGACTCACACTGTCATCCTAGCTACTCAGGAGGCTGGGATCTGAGGATTGAGAGTAAAAGCCAGACAGGGCAGGAAAGTCCAGGAGACTCTTATCTCTTCTCTTAACCAGCAAAAAGCTGAAAATGGAGCTATGGGCTCAAATGTAGAGTGCTAGTCCTGAGTAAAAAAAATGCCAAGCAAGAGTGTGAGGTTCTTATTTCAAGCTCTAGTACAGTACAAATAAACAAATAAAAAGACTGATAGGGCTGGGGTATGGCTCAGTGGCAGAGCCCTCACCCAGCATGTACCAAACCATGGTTCTATACCAAGCCACCAGAAATGAAAAAAGTGAAAAAGAATTTCCTTGTGTGCTGGCAGCTACCATGTTCTCTTTGATGGAACCAGAGAAGACAGGCCATCCGGACACATCTCCTCTTGAGGTATCCTCCCTTGGCACTTGGGTGTGATATGAGGTGAGGGTGGTATTGTGTAGCACATTGCTGAGAGGCAAGCCTGGTGTGTGCAAATGTGGTGGTGTGGGGAGGAGGAAGGAGACACTGGATCAATCAACTGATTAGACTGACCAGTCTCCTTCAAAAGGTGAGACCTGGTCAAGTTCATGCTATGTCACAGGTAGCAATAAAAACACAAAAGCAGAGTGATGGGGCTTGGTGGCTGTCCAAAATCCTATTTACTTGGAAGGCAGAGACTGGAAGGATCATTGCTCAAGGCCATCCCTGGCAAAAAGTTCAAGAGACCCCCCTCCATCTCAACCAATAAAAACTGAGCATTGTGGAGTATTCCTATCATCCCAGCAAATGGGAAATGTAAATAGGAAGGCCATGGTCCCGGCTGACTAGGGCATAAACTTAAGAACTCACTGGAAAAAATAACCATAGCCAAAAGAGGACTGACAGTATGACCCAAGTGGAAGAGCACCTACCTAACAAGTACGAAGCCCCAAGTTCAAACCTAACTAAGACACAGAATAAAATAGAAAATAGAAAAAAAGAGACCATTTCACTTACCTTTTTAATATCACATTCATCCAGGTGATTCTGAATAAACTGAACACTGGCTGAAAAGTCAGCAGAATTGAATTCATAGGGAATATTCCATCCTAGAGGACCAAATTTTCGTCTTTCCTTAAAACAAGAAAGAAAATTAAGTATTGAGCAAGCTTTTTTTTTTTTTAAAGTAAAGTAGGTTTAAAAAATTGTACATAGCTGATTCCTTTTTTGTGACTGTTAAAATGAGCTATCATAAAATTAAAGGTATGTTATCAAGGCAAGTTGACACTGTTGTAAAAGAACATTATGTATAATTTTGGATATATTAATGGTTAGTCATATTCTTTCATGTGGGGACACTGGTGGCTCACACCTGTAATCCTAGCTACTCAGGAGGCTGAAATCTGGAGGATCACAATTTGAAGCCATCCCAGACAGAAAAGTCCAAGAGACTCCCCCTGACCCCATATCCAATTAATCAGCAAAATACTGGTCTGGAGGCCTGGCTGCAGTGGTAGAGAGCCAGCCAAGAGCAAGCCAGGCAGAGTGAGTGTGAGGCTCTAAGTTCAAACCCTAGTATCAGCACACACGCGCACGTGCGCGCACGCGCGCACACACACACACAGAAATATTATTTCATGACACTATAGTCAAATGGTTTACATAAGCAAATCTTTGAAGGGAGGAAGGGAGAGTGATAGGGTGAGGCTGATTGTAAACATGCAAACGCGTGGAAATGGAACAATGAAATCGTCTGTGTAATGGTCCTCTGGAAGCTCATAAAAACACGAAGTAGCAAATCTCCATATGATAATTTGGAATTCTTAGGTTTTTAAAAAAATTGTCTAGGTCTTAGAGGTATTCAATAAACACCTTCTGAGTTGTTATTCTAAATCAGACCCTTGAAAGTTGGGAAATGTTAAATGTAAGGGTATGCATCTTTCAAGCTGAATAATGCCAGCATTCAGAGCATTTAAGCCTCCTGCTGTTTACTGTGTAATCTTGTCACTTCAGATTTTGAAAATTACAAATTTCCATTGCACACAAGATGTACCTGTCTTAAAACTTCCATTCTAACATCAAAGCTTTCCAGACTCCTCTCATATGGTCTCAAACTTTAGAATCACCAAAGTACCTACAGATAACTAAACTTGACTCAGTCCAAATGATCCAGTGGCTTTGAAGTTCTGCAGACACTATATTTCATAGGTATGCAAACGATAGAACGGACACCTGTGGACTTTGAGGACCCAGCAAGCCACACAGACAGGCACAGCTATCTGAAGTGAGGACCTATGTGGAGAGTGGAATGCTTGTGCATTATGGGAAGATTGAAGTCTACTTCTCTAAAGATGTACTAATTTTTCTTCCTCTTTCCACCTTCCCCCATCTAACATCCAAATATATGTGCATGTTTTCTCTCTCTCCTCTCTCTCTCTCTCTCTCTCTCTCTGTCTCTCTCTCTCTTTCTCTCTCTCTCTCTCTCTCTCTCTCTCTCACACACACACACACTTTCCACAAGCTATTCCATCCTCACGGCAGCTCACACTCTGAATGTCCTCACTGCTTAGAGGCATCTACTGGGCATATTGGTTGCACATCTAGAATTTCAGTTTCTAGGGAGACATAGGCAGGAGGATTGTGAGTTTCAAGCCAGCTTGGGTAAAACACACAAGGCCCTACCTCAAAATAAGAACAGAAAATCTGGAGTGGTAGGATAGCTCAAGTGTGAGGCCCTGGGCTCCTCCATTCCCGGTACCACACACAATAAAATTTTTAAAGAAATCTAAATGAACATGAGCTTGGCTAAAAAATCATGCACAGGTCAGAGAAGAAATTCAGGATGCAAGGAGGTTTTAATTGACTGAATTTTCAGGGTGTGCTTTTAACATATTAAGGAAACCATTAACATTAATTTGGATCCAGATGTTCTGACCCTGGGAAATAAGAGGGAGAACAAAAAGGGGGTGGGGAATACCCAAACTCTTATCTCTTGACCTGTGTTTCCTGAGACTTACACAATGTGACTCCCAACCCTCATGCGCTGACCGGATCAGAGTGGACCACTAGCCTAGGAGTCTCCCAATCTCTTCCTCCTTGGAGTTGGGAGTTTATACTGAGGACCTACAAACTCAGCCTTGGGCTGTACCATCTTCCAACTGTGTCTGGAGGAGGTGACAGGGACAGAGGGCAAGTGTTGACAGAGGAGAGATGGTGGCCCTGGGTGTGAGCACGGAGGCCATGGCCTGTCAGACTGTCTGTTTCTCTGGATGGCTTCCTTCCCTCAGTCTTTCTGTTATCTTAGTTTGGTTTCCCTAGTTACTGCCTGTTGAGCTACTGGGAGAGACTCATGGCTGGCTAGCCAGAGTTTTCAGTGACTAGAGTTGAATGTTTTCAGACTCATATAGATGAGTTTCTTCTAAGTTATTCCAAGAACAAGGACAGACTAAGAGTCTATAATATATTAATATTAAAATAGTAAAGGGTTTAGCAAATCCTTTGGTGTCTAGGATTTCTTCCATTGTGAGGTCTTCAAAGAATGTTAAATACTTAATGAAATGGGAATGTTTCCCATTTTCCAAAAGAGAGAACGAGAATCAAAATCAGCTAGTTTTATCTATATGTTTGACTTAATTTTTAAAATTTAAGGTTCAATTAGACAGAGACTGGAATGAGAACCAATTCTTTCTTTCCAATTACTGAAGCTATTCAAATTGGCTCTACAGAAACACTCCCATTTATATGCATTGAGCAATTGCAATTTAGTTGCTCTTTAAATGTGATCTCTGAAAATTGCCCCAATGCTAAAATTTGCCTCCCATTTATGTCATTTCCTATCTGTTTTCATCTGGAACATTCACTGTTAAAGTTGGTTCATGAAAGTCAGAGTCTGCTGAGCTTGTCTTGAGGGGAAAAAGACTCTACTCTGTCTTGGTGGTTGTCTTTTTGTTTCATAAAGGAAATCATTTCATTTGCTATTTTTTTTTGGTGCCCACTGGTCTCTCTTGGTGACAATAAAGGACAGAGAAGCCTGAATTATCACCTTGGCATAAATTCAAACCACTGGAGCCTAAGAGCTCATTTGGAGGTTGAAAAGCAAGGAATTTTTCTCAGTTGGATACAATATTGGATCTCTTCAGTCCAATTAGTATTTTGGAAGTCACGAATGAGCACAACAGCAGAACATTAACATACAGGTGTTGTCAAGACATTTGGATCCAGGTGAGAAAATAGGTCTTAGAAACAAGAAAGAGAGAATGTGAATGTGACTGGAATTAACTGTCAAAATTTAACACATGTCAGCCTGAAAAGCACATTCATTCAGAGGCTTCAGGTTCAGAATGAAACTGGGGCTGATGTTTGAGAACTAGCAAAGGCTACAAGCAGAGAGATGAACATGGGCTTCCCGTTCAAGGCAGTGCTGTTCCAAGCAGGAACTAACAGGCTCAGCTTCTTCAATGGAGGAAGGTAGACAGATTTGAACATAAAAACATATCCAGTCAGCCAGGCATTGGTGACTCACTGCTGTAATCCTAGCTACTGAGGAGACTGGGATCTGAGGATTGAGGGTTCCAAGTCAGCTGGGCAGAAAAGTCTCTGAGACTCTTATTTCCAATTAACCAGCAAAAAGCCAGAAGTGGGGGTGTGGCTCAAGTGGTAGAGCACAAGCCTTGAGTGAAAAATCATCTAAGAGACAAGAGCACAAGGCACTGAGTTCAAGCCATAGTACCAACACACACACACACACACACACACACACACACACACACGCACACACACACACACGCACACACACACACACACACACATCTTTATTCAGCATAAAGTATTACACAGTGTGAAGCTCGAGTATGATATCAGTCTACTTCCCCCTTAGGCTGAACAATCCAGTTTCTTCTTTTTATTCCAGAACTACTAATGTCATCTGGGAAACGTGGAAATACAGGAAACTCCTTAGACCACTGATGAGACTTGCTCAGTGAACTCATTATTTCAAAGATGGCAGAGCTATTTCCAACCTGATGGCAGACTCTCTTTCTACAGAATCAATCCACACCATCCTCAAATGAGACAACTGCAGTTAACTGCCAGACTCCAATAACTGGTGCTGATATACAAAGAAAAAATGCAACCCATACTAGATAACATTAGAGGGATTTGAATAGGTGAAAAATAATGAACAAAACCAAAACTGCTGGGGATCATGCTCCATCATGGTGCAAATGTTAAACCCATGCCCGGACATTGTAATTATTCAAAAACATTGAAGCTAAAACTTTGATAGGCACCTGTGCCCCAAAGCAAGACCTTCACATTCACTTTTAAAGTTGGAACAAGTGTTGGACAGGGCTTGAGCAGAATAAAACAAAATGTAAGGGAAGCAAACACTTTTCTGAATGAGGAAGTATTAATGGAGCAATTTCCTGGGCTCTGGTGATATAGCCATTTTTATTTAATATTTAAATTATTTTTAAGAGCCATGATAAAACTTGCACAGTTGCAGCTGCTACTGCAGGCCCTCAGAGACTTTAAATCCAGAAATCCTTAGGGACTTGCTATCCTGAGCTGGCAGCAAAATGACTTCAGCCAAACCATCACAGCAAAGAGCTGTGTCTATGCTGTTAAAAGTCCCAGATGGACCCTCAAAGTGGGCAGATCAAAGTGCAGGCGTGAGAAAGATGTAATGATGGTTTAACTATTCCCCCTTAACTACAGCTCTGTGCTGCCCCAGCATTCTCAATTCTTGTTGTATATTAAAATCACCTGGGAAGTTCTTAAAAAGACTGAGCCTTCAGGTCCAAGGCCCAAGGGCTGGCTGAGCACCACTGCTTAAGATGTTTATTACACAGACTGTTACTAGTTTCATTTTTAGAATCCCATGTGATAAACTTTTACTTTAAGACCATTTTGGGTGCTATTAGTTCACTGTTGTAATCCTAGCTACTCAGGAGGCTGAGATCTGAGGATTGTAGTTCAAAGCCAATTTGGGCAGAAAAGTCTTTGAGACTCTTATCTCCAATTAACTACCACAAAAAGGCCAGAAATGGAGCTGTGGTTCAAGTGGTAGGGCACTAGCTGTGAGCAAAAACACTAAGGGACAGCACCTAGGCTCTGAGTTCAAATGCCAATACCAGCACATACATACACATATACACACACATGTATACACACATGGACATGCACAAAAGATACTAAGAAATGGACTGTTGAACATGAATGGGGGGGAAAAGCATAGAAATGGATGGCCACATTTCAGAAATGAGAAAACTTCATAGAGAGGGAAGAGAGGCCTTTGGGGGAAGGCATAACTAAGCAACCTCACCTGGTTAACTGCCCAGCAAAGATGAGCCTCCTGACTCCCAGGAAGTGCTGTTCCTAGCACACTACTAGTTGATTTTAAGAGGTATTCGGTCTTTGGCTAATATACAGTCGCTCCACTATTAGCTGCCCAGCCCCAGCAGAAGTGAGATTTCTTCTCTGTTTTGATCTAAGTGTGGTTCACACTTTGCCTCATGAATGGACTGCCATCCCCTTGCTCTCTTCCTGCTTAGGAATCCTGGATAGCCTAGGTCACCACCTTGACCACATGGAGAAGCCCCTGTCCTCAAGCACGGAGGAAGGGTTGAATCACCACTACTGGGAACCAAATACAGTATTTGAAGCAATATTTGGATTAGAACATGATAAGCTCTAGCAGAGGGAACAATTCTCAGAGAAGAGCGTGTGAAGTAGATTTCAGTGACTTGGAGGCTGAAGTTTACAATCTAGAGGCCATGATAGAAATCAGCAAAAAAGCATCACCAGCAAAGCATGGTCCCTCTCCCAAGGCTGAGAAGACAGAGAAACACTTCAGCTCCCTCTGGTGGCAGGGTGGGGTCAACACAGAGTGGGAACAATTTGCCTCCATCTTTGGCAAAGTCTGAACAACCCTTGGGCACAGCTGAGTGTCTGTGGCTCCTGGGACACAACAGTGGCTCAGTCTACCCTTTTTCCCCAGTCCCAGGAAAGGAGTATTGTGGCAAGCAGTTAAAGGAGACTCTTCACCTCTTTGTGAAACCAAGGAGTGAACCAAGTGAATTATAGTTATGCAGTTTTCCAGTACTCAACAACCTATAAAACTCAAATAGAGGACAGTGCAATAATGAATTTTAAAAAATCCAACAGATAAGTGGCTTGATCACCCTAAGATGACAAATCACTATATAAGTAATTAGCATGTAAAAGCCAACAGCCAACGAATGGCCTGCGGGAGGCAAGCCGCCGCTGTCACCCTTCCTCCCCCAGCCCAGCCATCACTTTCACTGCCTGGTAATAACTGGAGCCACCTGAACTTCAGCCAGAGCCAGACCCACCACTGCCGATGATGTGTACTTAACCTCTCCCAGTCTCAATGGCCTTATTATTAACGCAGTGATTAATCCTGTTTTGAAATGTGGTGGTTGTTATTATGTAAGATGGTGTACATAAAATTCGTGGCTCGTACAGGCACTTTCGAGACCAGGCTCCTTTCTTAATAACCTGTTCACTCATTCCTCAAGTATTGAGCTCGAGTTATGGTCTGAATATGAAACATCCCGAGTAGTCTTGGTCCCTGGTGTGTGGCTCTTTCTGGGGAGCTGGCGGAACTGTAGAAGGTACAGACATGGTTGGAGGGAGGGTGTGTCACCCTGGGGGTGCCTCAGAAAGGGTGTCTGGTCCCTGATCTCTCTCTGCCTTCACGCGCTGCTTCCTGGCCACCATGAGGTGAGTGGGCTCTGCCATACACTCCTACTTTGGAAGTGTTTCTGCCTCTCTTCAGGCCCACAGAAATGGAATCAGATGACCATCACATGAAGCCATGAGCCCAAATAAAGCTTTCCTCCTTTCAACTGTATCACTCACGTATTTGTCAAAGTGACCATCTATGATAGATAGATAGATAGATAGATAGTCAGTCAGTCAGACAGACAGACAGACAGACAGACAGGCAGGCAGACATGGCAGAGTTTCTGCCCTTGGGAATCCTCCATCAGCCTGGTGGGGGACACAGGTGACATCTGTAACTATCACGCTAAGCCAGACACAGGAAAGCAGAAGCAAGAAAACACCAGAGGTTAAGGACAGAGTGGAGGCAGAGGCAGTGCCCTCCCAGAAGGTTTCCCCACCATGAACAAACTCCTCCTCTCACCGCACCCCACGGAGGGGACGCTGCCTCCCTGGTTACCTGCACAGTGGAGTGTAAAAACGCGACTGTGTAGAGCATGGGTTTCCACATGGGTAAATTGCTGATGTCCAGAAGGTCTTGATTGATCCCGGCGAATGTTCTTTTTAGACCCGCGCGCACCCCTTGGGGAGGCTCATTCGTGAATTTGAGAGAAGTCTGTCACAAAGAGGAAACAGTTGTCTTATTCCTCTAAGTGACTATAAAGGGGTAAGAGAAATCACGACACATCAGGCAGCAATCTGCTTCTGACATCCTGAATGCAGGCACGGATTCAGAGCAGGCTAATCTGCTTACACTGATGAACCCCAATACATTCATATCGCATCTTCTAACTCTCCTGTGAAAATACTATCTGACCTTTATGGCTATAATTTTTGATAATGGCTGGGCACTGGTGGCTCACACCTATAATCCTAGCTACTCAGGAGGCTGAAATCTGAGAATCATGGTTCAAAGCCAGCCCAGGCAGAAACGTCTAGGAGACTTTTATCTCCAATTAACTGTCCCCCCCCCAAACCGCAAACAACAACAAAAAAGCCCTGGAAGTGGAGCTGTGACACAAGTGGTGGAGCACCAGCCTTGAGCAATGAAGCAGCTCAGGGACAGTCAAAAATTATTGTTTTGATAATGACAAAATTTTGCAGTTCAGATTCTATTGGGTCAAAAAAGGTTCTGCTATGTTTTTATTTTTCAATAATGTTGTTGGGTTCCAGTGGCTCATGCCTCCTAGCTGCTCAGAAGGCTGAGATCTACGAATTGAAGTTTGGGCAGGAAAGTACATGAGTCTCTTATTCCAATTAACCACCAAAAATCTGGAAATGAGCTGTGTCTCAAGTAGTAGAACAAGCCTTGAGCAAAAGAGCTCAGGGATAGTATCTAAGCCCTGAGATTAAGTCCTAGGACTGGTACATACACATCAATTATGCCATTAATTGACCTATATCTCAATGGAAGGGCAGTCTACTTAACAAACCTGAAGCAATGTGATTGGAAATCGGTCATGAGGCTCCGTGGTGATCCACACTCGGAAAGAATCATCATTGGCTTCCGTGGTGATCAGTGTCTCTAGTAATTCCTCCATGAATTCCAGGCCAAGGTGACAATTCTGCAGTAAGACCCAACCGCCCTGTATCCAAAAATGAGTTACATGTTGATTGCTTGAAACTTTTTGTTAGGATTTAAATTTTTTTTTAATGCACATTTGTTGTTTTTTTTTCTTTTAAAAAAAGGCTTTGCTTAGAGATATGTTTGTTTTGAGTAGAGATTCAAAAAAAAAACTATTTCCACACAACCACATCAGTGACTAGTACAAGAGACTTGGAAGCACTTGGGTCCAGAGTGCTGGCGTCCTGCCAGGGTGGCTCAGAAAGGAACAGAGGGGAGAACTGAGGCCAGCCCTGGGAATGTACAGCGTGTGCACCACCTAATGGTGAGAACGGGAATGTGAACTGTCCTTCCGGAGCTGAGGCAGAACCGACAAGCTCTAAAACCAACGAAACTCACCCGGTGTCACCCAGAGCTGCAAAGATGCACAGTATCTTTCTTGGTGATGATACTTTTAGTGACCCTTGTTGCAAGGGTCACTACACCTCACTCACTGTTTCAGCATTCTTCCTGAACATCTGCGAAACCATGTAACTTATAAAGCACTCGGTAAGTACTTGATCAAACTACCTCTCATGATATGTCACATAGCCATAACGGCCATATGAGAACAGCTGCTTGTCTGCTTGCTTGTTTTGAGGCAAAGGCTCACTGTGCAGGCTGGCCTCAAATTTAAGATCCTCCTATCTGCCTCCCAAGTGCTGGGGTAACAGGCATGCACCACCACGCCTGGCAAATCAATGTTTTTTTTAAATTCATTTTAAATTCACATTTCAATGCTCTTATATAATATATTGAATGCAATAACTCCATCATAAGATATACATATCATGTTTTCAACCATCAGAGAAAACATGACTCGGCTGGCTTCAGTGGTGAAGGGAACACACAGGAGGGAATTCTGGAGTGGTGTTGATATGGTGGACCCCATGTTCTGGGCCTTCACTGGGCATTCTACTGTGCCTGCTGTATCCTGAATCTGGTATCTCTTAAGTTGGCTGTACCTGTTCATTTTTATTTTCTCTGATAATGCCATTATTATCAATATGTACCTCCTGGTAAGACACAGACCATGAAAGTTACCCACCCCCCCCACAAAAAAACACCCCAGTATTCCAAAAGAGGTTAATGTGAATATAGCACTTAAATGAAAAAGTTTCTCATTCATAGACACAATGAAATGAGTTAAGCCCCAGGTTAAACTGCCAAATCACTCAATAGAGTGAACAAGCTGATCCAAGTCAAAATTATTATATATCATTGCCCTGATATATTTAAGTTAAATATAATTTATTATTGAATTTAATTAAGTGATAAAGATTAAGGCTTAGGGCACTCGAGAATTAATGGCTGGCTTCAAATTTTGATGACCCAAGTAGCGTTTTAGCTCATTAACCCATCTAGCCATTAAGTTCCAGGGACTGTCAGTTACTTTGCATGTGATGAGATCAAATGCTTAAAAATAAACCAAGTTCTTATTTTATTTTTATAAGTGATGCAATTTCTTATTGTGGATGAGATGGCTGTCTCTAGAGCATATCTAGGAAATTAATATCCTGGGTATTTATTAGGTGTAATAGAAACGATTTCTCAACATCCCATTCAAATTACACTTCTCAATAAAAAAAACACTATCAATATTAAAACACACACACAAATACTTAAACACAAAATCCTCAAATATTTCTTATTTGCCTGAAACTACCCTTTAGTGAAAAACAAAAGCCTGCCTGTAACCAAAAATTGAATCTAATGGTCCCAATATGTCACTTCATAGGGATGATTCAATTAATATTGATCATGCCATTCTAAGACAGCTGAAGTCGCACCCTTAGGAATCAGAAGGCATGCCTTCCAAATTGTAAATAAATAATAATAAAACGGAGCTTATTAGTACAACATGAGTTGCATTACTACAACATGAGGCTGTCAGGAGGAGAAACTAGTGTTTTAAATTCTTAGGTTGACTGTATACTCATAAATGAATATGGGAGTCTGGATTAGGGCCTGTGAGGAAGGGGGCCCGGGGTCGACCAGATGGATGGAGGAATGCAAGAGACAAGGTTGCACTGGAGGAGTGGCCAGTCACCCACCTGCTGCATTGACATCTGAATGAGTTTCCGAGCATGCACTTCTTGTCCCTGTCCCATGGAGATAGTTCTACATTCTGTAATGGAGGAGAAGGTCTGTGATGAGATAATGGAACTTTTCCTAACCGGGCCGGGAATAGGGGGGAGAGGGGTGGTGGACTCATAATTTCTGAACTGTCACACCCTCCCTTCATGGCCTCGTTGCAGCCTGTGCTGTTCAGTAGGTCTGGCCTCTGGTAGTGTTCATCAGAGACTTGGAGACACTGCCTGGAAGGGTGGGGCTGGGACCCACAGCAAAGGGCACAGTGTGGCTTTGGGGGGGGGGGCCCACAGCAAGGGTGAGCAAGAGGTAGAAGGTCTAGAATCTTTTTTGTTATTATTGTTGGTCACAAGGTTGGAACTCAGGGTCTGGGTGCTGTCCCTGAGCTCTTTGACTCAAGGTTAGTGCTCTACCACACCAAGCCACAGCGCCACTTCCAGTTTACTGGTGGCTCATTGGAGATAAGAGTCTCACGAAGGGGAGGAGGATTGGGGAGGGGAGGGGGGAGGAAGGAAAGGATGGGAAGGGGAAACAAAGGAGGAGGCTACTCACGAAGCCGGGCTGGTGGCTCATGCCTGTAATCCTAGCTACTCAGGAGGCTGAGATCTGAGGATCGTGGTTCAAAGCCAGCCCAGGCAGGAAAGTCCATGAAATTCTAATCTCCAATAAACTACCAGAAAACCAAAAGTGGTGCTGTAGCTCAAGTGGTAGAGTGCTAGCCTTGAGCTGAAGAGCTGAGGGATAGCACTCAGGCCCAGAATTCAGGCCCCAGGACCGACAACAAAAAAAAAAAGAGTCTAACGGCCTTTCCTGCCCTGGCTGGCTTCAAACTGTGATCCTCAGATCTCAGCCTCCTGAGTAGCTAGGACGACAGGTGTGAGCCACCAGCTCCTGGCTAGTCTAGAATCTTTCTACAGTGCCGGTGCAGCTGCTTTAGAGTTAAAGGTCTGATAGTTCCTCAAAAGGTTAAAGATAGGGTTACCACAAGACCCAGAAAATCCATTCCTAAGTCTATAGATGAGGAAAAACCTTGTAATGTTCAAGTAGGATTAGTCACTGGCCAAAAAGTGGAAGTAATCCAAGTCTCCATGAACAGATGAGTGTGTAAACAAAACGTGACTGTATGTCCACACAACAGCAGTACTGGAAGTTCAACTCAGGACCCTGCATTTGCTACGCAGATGCTCTGCCACATGAGCCACACCTCCAGTTTTTTATTTTTCAGATAGGGTTCTTTCATGTTTGCCAGAGACTGGCCTTAACTACAGACACACACCATTACACCTGGTTGGTTTGTTGAGATGAGGGTCTCACTAACTTTTTGCCCAGGCTGGCTTCAAACCATGATCCTCTTGATCTCCATCTCCTGAGATTATAGTCACAAACCACTATGCTCAGTCAGAATATTATAAGGTGGAAATTTCTATATACCGAATCGTATCTAACTCCAAGGGTTTTGAATAAGAGACTGTGGAAATTTCAAATGTAACACACATTAATGTAAGTCTTTAACTAGGTAATGTATATATTCTCATGTATTTTTACACATATTTCATATCTTTACTATTAAACAGTATGCTGTGATGATCTTACTGCCATTCCGTATTATTAGTAAATGATTTTTAGTACCAGAACTAAAATCTCATCTTGACGCATCTTTGTTCATTATATATAGAGGACCTTCTGAATCCTCAATTTTACCAGATGAAACATGGCTTTGTGTAAACCTTCATGCATACTCTCCATATGTTCTTAGGAGCCATTCAGGCATGCAGGATAGTTTGAACAAAATACAAAAGTATTATAAAGATTCCTGATGTGCATATAGAGAGGGCTACGAGTGCCTCCCACTTAAGCGGGATGCTGTGACTCCCGCCCCCACTCCGCTCCTTGTTGGGGTTTTTATTGTCTTCTGGTGCCTTCAAAACCCCATCCAGTCTCACATCATCTCTATGGCATGTTATCTACCTTGGGTCTTAGACTCTGGTGTTGGGATCAGGGAAATCTTCACTATTCATTCGTAAAAAACTAGCGCAATAGTTTTCTTCTTTTACAGCTTAATCTAAAGCACTCAATATCCCACTCAACCCACAGCTCTCTCTGCAGTTTCATCTGGGGTGATGCCATTCCTGTTTCTAATATTAACCTGCTGTCTTGGCCCTCGCTTTGGCTAATCTCTTTTTCTCCTCCAGTTTGAAATGTGAATCTGATCAGATGCAAAGTTCATACTCTTGACTCTAATTTGGGGGCCTCCCTTGATTTGTCTACCCACTCTCTAAATCACTGCCATTCGGTGACATTTTAATGTCCAGTGCTGTCTTTTCTTTCTTTTCTTTTTCTTTTCCAATTCTCTTAGTTATTCTTGTTGAGCTATAGTTCTAGATAAACTAAGATCGCCATCCTACTCAATGACAGGAGAAACACTGTTTGAATTTCAATTATACTTGCATTTGATTTATAGATTAATCTCGAGAATCTTGTCATTCTGACAATATTGAATCTACATTGGGAATGGGGTTTAACTCTTCATTTATTTGAAGATTTCTGTCGCTAAGAAAACATTCCCAGTTTCCTTCAAACAGTTTTAAATTGTTTCTGAGTTTTGTTTTTATTGCCATAGTTAATGGGATTTTTTTTAATCTCACTTTACAAGAAAGAAAACCATTGATTTTTTAAAAAAATATCTATTTGTTTTGTGACTATTCACTTTCCTGAACTATCTAATAGTTTTTCTGTTGATTCATATGTGGTTTTTTTAAACAATTACATTTTCTGAGAGTAACGATGATCTGCGTCTCTCCTCTCCAGTAGTTAAATCCATTATTTATGATCCTCACAATGCTTTAGCCATATCTTCTACCACAATACTAAGAGAAGGCATCTTTGTCTATGCCTGGTTTACACGCATCCCAACTCACTCACCAAGTCGGGGGTGGGTGGCCTGCTGTACCAATACCACATTCCTAAACTATTCTTCTGTTCCTACCTTTCCAATGTCTGGAGATGCTTTTAAAAGCATCTATCATGTCACAATGCAAGGGTTTAAGGACAAGTCTTCTGCTTGCTGAAGAGATGTCTTCAAGCCACAGAGCCCAGTATGTTAGCTAAGTGCAAATGATGAAACTTATTAGAAAGCTTTCTGTATTCATATGTATATTCCCTCCTCAAATTCATGACTGTTGGATTGTCATTTTTAGTGTCCCACTATATTCTTCTGGCTTATGTTTTGGCAAAGATGTTTATACTTAGACTGATCATATAAATTGGTGGTTTTCTTTCTCTTAGGCAGTTACTATCTTGGTTAGTGTTTGATAGCAGGATAATTAATGCTAACAAAGAGAAAAACATATCCCGTTTTTCGTCTGTGTTTTAGAATCAAATGTACCCTGTGTGAAATCCCTTGAACATTTTAGAGGATTTATATGAAGAAAGTGAGCTGGTGGCTCACATCTATAGTCCTAGCTACTCAGGAGGCTGAGAGCTGAGGATCATGGTTTTCAGCCAGCTTGGGAGGAAAGTCTGTGCGACTCTTCTCTCCAATCAACCACCAAAAAGTCAGAGTTGAGCTGTGGTTCAAGCGGTAGAGCCCCAGCCTTGAGTGAAAATTCTAGGGGACAGCGCCCACGCCCTGAGTTCAAGCCTCAGTACCAACTCATACACACACATACACCAAAAACAAAAACAAAACCTCTTCTAATTTCTCTCACTTTTGATTATGAGTCTATTTAAATTTTTCTCTTTTCTGAGAAAGTTTGAACACACTTGTATTTTTCTACACACTTGTCAACTTGAATGAGATTTTCTAACTTACTATGAGAACAATACACCATTCTCACATTATTTTGCCTGCACATGGGGTTATGCTCCCTTCTCATTGCAAATCTGCATTTCTAGACTCTTGAATTGTGTCTCCTTCTCAGCTGTACTTGGATTGTTTTCACACCCTCCTTTCTCACCAGGTCCCTAATATGGTGCTTCTGCTCCCCCATCCTGCTCCTCCTCCTGCTCTCTCTTTTGCCCAGTACTTAGCACCATGAGCTTGTCTATTCAGTCTCTCATTGTAGGGCCTGGCCAGCAATATCAGAGAACATCCATGAGCAGACATTTTCCTTCTCCTCTTTGTTCCCGTCCCCTACTCCAGTGAGTCAGGGCAACAGGTTAATCCACCTGATAAAAGCTAATGAGACCACTCAGTAATGAGACCACGGAAGTGAGGTTCAGAGGCCTGGAGCTAAGCTCTCAATCAGATCTGTCTCCAACTTGCTCTGGGGCCATTCCTCCTCTCTTCCTGGTTTCCCCAGCTATAAAATAAGACAGCTGGCTTTCCAGACTTCCAGTCTCCTTCACCTTGAGCACTGTGAGGTTGGTTATCCATTATCCACTCGTTGAGATTAGATTAATATGTTATTGTTTGCCCAATAGCTTTTTTTTTAAACAACTACCTTTGGTAACAAACATAATGAGACCTCCTTACACTACTAGAAATAATTTATGAAGGAACAAATCCCTAATTACTATGCATTACAATAACGGCTATAGTTTTTTGATTTGTCACAACATATACTTTGTTGTAACTTTATGTAAACATGGCAATAATGTAGGGTATTGCTCCTGTATGTTCAATCTTGCTAATCTGCTATCCATGAGGCATAGCCATCTGGTTACAGTGGAAAAAGAAAGAAGAGGAAGAAGAAGAAGAAGAGGAGGAGGAGGATGAAGAGGAAGAGGAGCAGGAGGAGGAGGAGGAGGAGGAAGAGGAGGAGGAGGAGGAGCAGATAAAAGCAAAATTTTTTTTAAAAAAACCAACAGTACATGGCAGATGAGTGAGCTCCTCTCTGTACAAAGATACCTACCATTACCTTTTCACTCTAGGATATGAAGGGATGGAAAAGGGAGCTTTATGGATTTTTTTTCTACCTCAGTTTTACAGAATATTTCTAAGAATCAGTCATTAAATTATGAAACAGAAAATTTAGGACAAAAGCATGGATGTTTAGCTACATTTCCTAGACTTGCCAATCCTACCCAGCTTCAGTTTCTTGGCCAGTGCGTCGATTTGAATGGTGGGATCAGATCCCATGGACAGGAAACAGATGAGCGGCGTCCGGGAGTCACTCTCTTCCCATGTTTTCTCCAGGTTTAAGATGACCGGCTCTGTGTACTTCTCCTCCAAAGAGTCGGCAATATACTTTCTTGCTTGGAAAACAGTGCGGTCTGGGCACCAAGACCTAGGCATGAATACAAGTTAAAGGAAGTAAATTAGCACATTTATTTTTTATTCTGCCTCATTCTGAGCCCATAAAGGGCATGCACTTAATTAACAAGCTAATCTCACATTCTGCAGTTCTGTCTGAGCATAAAGGTTGGGAAGATTTTCTGGCCTTGGATAAGCACAAAATCATCATGTGGTTTTGTCATTAGACATTAGATTAGTAGAGCAGAGCCAAACCCACAGCGTATCCTCTGCCAGCTCCAGTACACAGTAGGGTCCCCTCTGCCCCATGCTCTGAAGCCCCATGGTCCTCACCCTGCAGCAGACTGACAAGTCCAAGAGGTCAAAGGTGAACTAATCAGTAAGCATTTATGTCATATTATTTATATGCTACATGCCACACTCAGTTCTATACACCTAGATACATTAAATAAATGTCATCTGACATTGCATATTTTAGATCTCAGTCAAGTTCTCCAGGTTCTTATTTCCTAGCAGATTATATTAGTCATTCAACCCAGATCTATTCTTAGAGTAAGAAATAAAAGACAAACACATTCATTTCAGTAATAAGAGGTAGCCTTTGACAAGCGAGACTATGAGGTCACCATCCCTGCTGCCCTGATCCATCTTAAAGAGTAACAATCTTCAGGGAACAGCCTTTATTTCCTAAGTACAAGGTCAGGATACAAGATTAGGCAGGATGAGACCTGCTACAGAATGACCCAATATTCTCTTGTTACCCACTTGATGGTTTCATCGCCCATGTACCACCATCATTCCACTTAACCCCCAGTCTGCCTCCTCTTCCCTCTCTCCCTTCCTTCTCACTATTATTCTCCTCTTCCTCTCCTCCTCCTCTTCTCCTTTTCCTCTTCAACTGCTCCTCTTTTTCCCCTTCCTTTCTCTCCTCCTCTCTGCCTCTTCCAATTCCTCTTGCTCCTCCTCCTCTTCTCCTCTTCCTTCTCTCCCTCCCCACATACATGGATTGTTCCAGTTTACCAGGTGCCACTGAGCTACTAGATATTGAAGACATGTGGAAAATGAGAAGTTCAATGCTCTTACCCTCAGCTTCAGACCCATGCTTTCACTTCAATAGCCAGAAGTGTCTATATACATTCCAATGGTGCAATATTCTTAGGGTTTCCCCTCAAATAAATCCTCAGTTTATAAACTAATTGCCTTGATACTTTGGGACTTCTGTTTTTTTAAGGGAGCAGACTTCATAATGGATGATTCACTCAAAAGCAAATGAACAAGGTAAATTTTTTAAACATATTTTTCATGTTTTGGCTCTGGCCACAAGCTATTATCATTCACACATCATCAAAGTCTACCACTCCCTGACACTACTGCCAATATATTTTACTTTTAAGAGTCACCTTCGAAATTCCTAGTGTAGTAGCACACCCATTTCTTACAATAGTTATGGAGACAACTTACTGAAGGTCAGACCTGTAATTTAATGATGGGCTGCCAATAATGGGCTGATAATCCCTATTCTCACCTGATAAGTAAGAGTTTGTGGCAGGTGTCCAGCGAATCATTGTACCCGTCGGGTATGATCTCCTCCTCTGGAGCATCTTTATCAAACCAGCTTTTCCACCCCTTCTCATTCCGTGATATCTAAGAGCAACAAGCCAAGAAGCAGGTGTAAGACGATATGCGGTAGGAAGGTACTAGAAATTCTGAGGAACCTAAGGGTGGCATCACCCCCCTCCCCATATTGCAAAACTACCTTCATTCCAGACTCATAATACTGACCATCCTTGAGGACCAAATCTGTGAATATCTATTTAAAAATACCAATAGGTAACAAGGTCAAAACTTTTTCCTCATAACCCTCCACCATGAGACTTTAAAACTTGAGTATGGCAGAAGTCCCTTCAAGAGCTGCTCACTGCCCTCTGAGAGGCATGGAGGGGGCCCCTCTATTAAAAGTTGCCCTCTACAGCCCAAGTGCTGTCAAGACTTGAACTCATGGCCTATGCGCTATACTTGAGCCTCTTTGTCTTCAAGGGTAGCACTCTACTACTTTGAGCCACACAGCGCCACTTCCAGTTTTTGAGTGGTTAGAGATAAGAGCCTCACAGGGACTTTCCTGCCCAGGCTGGCTTCAGACTGTGATCCTCAGATCTCAGCCTCCTGAGTAGCTAGAATTGTAAGTGTGAGCCACGAGCACCCTGCTTTTAGCACTTTTTAAACTTCCTGATAAGCCCGAACAGGAACCAGTGAATGCTCATCCTGCAGCTGCTCCAGGCCAGACCAATGGATTGGAGTTTTACTTCTACCATCCTGACTTTTTATGCGGGCAGAGAGGGGTTAAAAAGTGCCCACAATTACACACAGTGTTTGCTTTATCACACAGGATGGAACCGGGATGCAAACCATGAATGAAACAGTTACTCTGAGATTCAGTTGCTTCAACTTTGCCTGGGGTGCTAGGGCATGGAGCGGGTTTTTCTGACATGCATCACTGTTTCACAGCGTCATGTACCTCCTGGAGATTGTACTCACTCTCCCAGTGTGGCTGCCATCACAGCATCTGCCTGCCTGCCTGCTGTCAACCCAACCCCACCTCCATGTACTGGTGAAATGCTGTCCACAGCGCCCCCTGCAGGCCACACAGAGGCCCAAGAGAAGGATGCACAAGGAGAAAGCAGTGGAGTATCCTCCACCTACTGGCTTTCCACCTGCTAACTGTGACCACCAGAATGGGAAGGCAATAGGATGACATGCAGCTCCTTAACACCACCTCATTTCCCTGCTCTCAACTACTGGTACAGAGTACTCCCGGGCACTACACAGCACAGCCTGGAATGCCAAGGCCAGGACAGCTACTGGGTGAGGTGGTTTTGCTTCAACCCCTCATCTCCACAGGGCTGGGAGACTGCTCTGCTCCTTCCCTCCGTCTCACAGACAGGCCAGACAATTGGCAGCCACACGATGGCAGGTCCCTGTTGAATTCATGCAGTCTTCCTGGGAATGGCTTCTCTGCTACTAGTCCAGTGATGGCGTAAGAGGAGTGGGAGAGACATAACTCACAATGACAATGCTAAGCTACAGTGTGACCATTTATTGGCTACTGGCCTTGGGCAAGCAATTAACCTCTCTGAAGCTCTGTTTTCTCATCTGTCAAGAAGGATGGCTACCTCCCATGAAGGTGATTGCGAAGAACCTATCGTACAGTAAGAAACAGCCACCAGTCTGCACCAGGGGCACTTAACATCCAGTTGGGAAAGGCAGACAATAATAAATATGAAAGGAAGCCCAATGCCTATTCGCAGCTGGAACCCTGGGTTTCCCCCAATTCACTCGGACCCAAGCACAGTTGAACACAAAAGAGTCTACACAATGTTTCAGAAACAGCACTGAAAATCCAGCTAGTGTAGTCCCCACTTAGGCTCTACCAACTTGCCATCCAATATGGGTCCTTTATCAGTCACAGACAACCACACAAAAGAGGATTATCAGCTCTGGACACTTCGAGCTGCAGGCACCATCAGCGGTGGGCAGTGGTAAATCAGAAGCACCAGAAATGAACAACTGTCTTAGTTATGTACTGCCCGATTCATTTCCAATGATAGCCGAATCCACTTCAAATGTGAAAACAACTTGCTATATAACCTGGGTTGGTCTTGAACTCACAATCCTGCCTGCTCCTCAGTAAGGGGATTATAGTCGGGCAACTGTCTCACCCACATAAATTCAAACTCTTGTATTGAATCCTTTGGAGGAAGCAATTGTCAGCAGGGGACCTCAGTTAAAGTGGACTGGATGGGTTTGGGTTAACGGATCTGGCCTTTTAGCCAGCCCTTTGTTACCTGGTTCATAATTTCTGCAAATTGAGGAAGTTTGCTCAGCTCCACAAGGTTCAGCCACGTCATATCAAGGATCCAGCGAAAGGGCTTGGGCGGGCAGGCTTTCAGATCCAGCGCAGCACCCCCTGGGGACACACGTCAGACTCAAGAATCAGGTCAGCTCAGACTTCATTTTGAGAAATTTATTTCCCAAATAATAAAAGCAAGGTAACCATGTTCCATAAAACATGGGAAAATTGGAAAAATTGTCATATTACAGAAAATGTGGTTATCTTTTACTTTGGGGTACATTTCCTCCAAGTCCTGGTGCTTTTGTTACTGATTTATGCCATCTTATCCAAGACAACAGCGACTCTTTGTCATCTTTCCCTGCAGAGAATTTTTCTCAGGTGGCTATGGTTGTTTGCCTTTTTTATTTGTCTTAACTATACTAAATCTATCATTTTTATATCAATAAATGGGTTTGGTTTTTTCACATATGATTTTTATAATCACTTCATAGTCAGAGGTGTGATATTCAACATTATTCCTTGCCTAGTTAAATTGATGGCGAGGCAAAGAGGAAAGAAGGAAGGGAAAGAAAGGAACAGTGGGAGGGAGGAACAGAGGGAGGGAGGGAAGGAGGAAAGAATATCATACATCTCTAGGGAATGACTGCTGGTCAAATCATTTATTCATTTATTCTACAAATATTTACTGAGTGCCCTCCATGTATTTGCATGATGTAAGCGCTGGGGATTTAGTAGAAAAAAATGAAAACAAAAACCAAATCTGCTCTCAGCAAGCTTATAGGCCAATGGAGAATGTGAGCTTCTCCATCAGATCCTACTTTGAAACAAATCACAACTCAAAGGAACGTACTCAAGGGGTAGATATTTCTAATGAAATACAGTTATATTTCAATTCTAAAAATCCTCTAAAGCTCTCCTAATTCCAGCTCCATTGTTACTTAATTCAGATATATGGAAGACAGAGATGCTAGAACTTTAAATCTTCTGGCCTTTCTTTTTTTTTTTGCTGGTCATGGGGCCTGAACTCTGGGTCTGGGCACTGTCCCTCAGCTCTTCAGCTCAAGGCTAGCGCTCTATCACTGGAGCCACAGCGCCACTTTCGGCTTTTTCTGTTTATGTGGTGCTCATGCTTGCAAGGCATGCACTCTACCGCTGAGCTACTTTCCCAGCCCCCTCCTGGCCTTTCTTAAGAATTCCTCACATCCTTCCACTTCACATATATAAAACAAGCAAGCAGTTGTGGGAAGGGGGTGGACTACAGGTCTCTGCTCACCTAACCCTGCTCATCATCACCTGCTCTGCTCATCCTCTTCCGAGAGGATGTAGGGAGTGGGGAACATTTGCATGTACACCTGTGTTCCACACCTCATCAGCAGAGCATCATGGGAACGGTCCCCTCCCTGCCCCGCCCCTGCTGGTGGGAGTTAATGGCAGGCAAAGCCATCCTGGGAGAGCGCCACCTGCAGGCTGCCAGGTGCTGCTTCTCCACACACATGCAGAAAAACGCATGCAGCCCTAGGCGCTTAGAGACATTGGAAGACATCAATCCTGCCTTGGTGTTTTCAAACACATGGCACCCTGGAACTAACTTACAGTCATTACTGCCGATCCAGCTGCCCCGAGGATCCTGGCTATGCTGCTTACCAGCTGCATTAACTTGGGCAGGAACTCTAATCTCTCTGTTTCCTCATCTGTCAAATGGGTACAACCACAGAATCTACCACATTAATTGTCAGTGTGGTAGACTGAATCTCACAGTCTACTAGCTGTGAGTATAGAAAGCCAGAATGGTCTCAGGCCACAGGAAGAGCTATAAAATCATTAGCATTATTAGAATTTTAACACTAATATCACACATACACATACATGTACATAACATGTACATGCCACCTGTAGAAGTCCCAGGTCCAGTCCCAACTGGAAGATATAAACAGATCGTCAAAGTATCTTTTTTTTTATTAGGGTATATACAAAAATAAGAAATCTGTCTAAAATAACCAGGCTGGGGAAACAAGGAGATGAAATTCTCTCTAGTACAGAATTGTCCTTGGTATCCATTTCATTTTTCAAAGTGCTCTGACATTCTTCACTGACGAAGAAAGTCAAAGGCACCTTAGACACGTTTCAGAAAAACAAGGAGTAATTGACACACAAAAACTCGCTCTTGGGAAATCAAATATTGCTGCTACAGTAAATAAACTGTCTTCCTCCCTTAAGTATTACACTCACAATGACTGTAAAAAGACTATGAACTAAGAGCCATATTTTATATTTGTGTAAAAATATTAAAAACCAAGTTGTACCACCTATTTAGAAAAATGTCAAAAAATTAACCAGATGGTTAACAGATGGTATAACAAACTAGTTTCAAACAACCCACTCTTCTTAGTGCTGAACTGATTATACTTCTGTCAATCAACCTATCACCTAATTCCAAATCAATCTCTTTAAAGTACTGCTCTGTTCATGCAAGATCCCTCCCCATAAAAATAGCTGATGGCTCCCTGTTCTCCACTGAATGTACCCCGAACTCTTGGCCTTTTACAAGCTGGTTTCTTCCTGACTCTACAAGTTTTCTGAAATGGGGTCACCCACATAGCTCAGAGGTGGCAGCCATCTTTATTTTTCTGGGATAAACCTAATTCTCCTGAGGAATTCCCTCTCATCTTTATTATCATAGGTCTCAATCTCTACTGGTTTATCTTCTCTCAAAGAGGCTTCCTCTTCTCAGGTAAAAGCTCTAGCCTGGCTGGCTTTATCCAGTAGAGAGTGGGGAGACAAGACGGGTTCTTCCTTGGGAGGGAGGATGCTTGAGACCTGTCATTATCCTCTCACTTCCTTGTAACCACATCACCAGGGTGAGTCTCTAGACCCAAGCTCTTTGGATGTTACTGCTTCCAAGATTCCCACAGGATTCAAGGCCTCTGGCTCCACTGCCCTCCAACCCCTGGGGATATAGCCCGAAGTCCCAGGGAGAGCTTGGGTCTCTCAAATTCACAAAGTCTGCATTGTCACTGGGCTATTCACCAACATTAGGTTTCCCTGTGTTCTAAGAAGGAGATGTGGGTTGTGTTCTCTGGTCTCTTTGAGTTAGACATGGATGTGTGTCTTGCTTTGGTCAAGAAAATATGGGAATACGTAACATGCCACTTTTTAGAGCCAGCACACTATCGCATTCTTCTGCCCCAATAATTACAGAAGCAAGACTAAGAATGAGCATGATGGAGAACTCGTGAACAAGAAGTTCACCTTTGTAGTGTTAAGTCACTAGAATTTTGTGGTGGCAAAACCTGGCCTATTCTGACTGAAAGGAGGTCCCCAAATCCCATTCCAACAGTCTCAAACCAGCTTTTCTGTCAATCAACCAGACCCAAAGCACACAGACTGGAAGTCTCAGATGCTTTACCAGGCCCTCCTTGGGAGAGTCACACAGACAGACAGACAGACAGAGACACAGACAGAGACACAGAAACAGACAGAGACAGACAGAGAGGGAGAGAAGGCGAGAGAGAAGGAGAAAGAGAAGGAAGGAAGGAAAGAAGGAAGAAGGAAAGAGAAAGAAAAAGAAAGCAAAGACATTGTAAGAACATCACCTTAATTGGAGCACAATTCCCTAGTGTATCACAAGAATATCCTTTCCACATCCTTGTTTCAAACTTCTTACCTTTAATGAGAGCGTGGAACTCCCGGTGCTTAACCGTCCCCCTCTGAAGATCAATCTTCAGGGTCATGAGGAGGACAAAGAGGAATTTGTGGTTTTCATACAGGCCCCTGACAGAGTACGTAAAAACTTCGTATGTCAGATACTCGATAATATTGACAATTCTCTTTTGAGGTAATGGAGACTTTTCAGATCTGTGTGGGATTTTAAGAGTCAAAGAGGTTAAGAGCTGATTCTGAACAATTGGAAATACCACCAAACCTTGGCCATTCCCAGCTCAGAGCCCCTGGGATGGGAGCGGTGAGCTCACCTGGCCATGGACTGGTCGAATAACTTGAGGAACTGGGCCAGCGATGTCTGGTACATGATGTTGACCATGCTCATCTCTGTGATGAGAAAGTAGAGGATGCTCCCACGGGTGGCTGCTGGCCTGAACTCCTCCTGGGCTGTGTTAATCTTGATCTCTGTTTCTGCTGCTACGTGCAGTTTTTCACTGACCTCCGCGGCCGTCAGCTTGGTGGTTCTCAGGACGCCAATGAGAGACTCATCATCTACCAAGGAACCTGAAAGTCAAAACAGGAAAACTGTGGGCACAGAGAGAATGGAGGGAAATCAACATGCATCGCTTACGAAATGATGATTTCCAACTTGAAGCTAGGTGCTGGGGGCTCAGACCTATAATCCAAGCTACGTGGGGGATTGAGAATGGGAGGATCAGGATTCTAGGCTAGCCTAAGGTGGGGGTGGGGGCAGTTTGCAGGACTCCATCTCCACAGATGTATTGGGGTGGGCCTGTCATCCCAGCTATAAGGGAAGTCTAGATCACAGCTCAGGCGAGCACCGAGGAAAAGCGTTCATCTCAATAATAACCAGGAAGAAACAGAGCTGGGGGCAGGGCCCTGAGTTGAAACCCCAGTACCACACACCCACATACCCACACCCCCCACACACAAACATACACATACACACACGTACATTTACATGTGTGTTATTTGTATATACACATGTATGTGTATGCGTGTGTATACATGAGTATGATCCAATTTGATCCCCAAAGTCCACAGAATATTAGGAAACTAGAATCTTAAAACCTCAAGGGCTTCTGGTCCAACTGGGGACCTGGATCCAGACCTTTCTAAGTCTTCCAGTCGAGGGTCAGTCCCTTACTCTGCCTAACTGTCTGCATCAAAAGACAAAAGATTCACTGGAAGTCAGGCGCCGGTGGCTCACGTCTATAATCCTAGCTACTCAGGAAGTTGACATCTGAGGATCACGGTTCAAAGCCAGCCCGGGCAGGAAAGTCTCTAAGATTCTTATCTCCAATAAACCACTAGAAAACTGGAAGTGGCGCTGTGGCTCAAGCGATAGAGCGCTCGCCTTGAGCTGAAGTGCACAAGGACAGCAACCAAGCCCAGAGTTCAAGCCCTACGACTGACAAAAAAAAAAAAAAGATTCACTGGCTAGATCTTCCTGTCTGGGATGGTGGTCACAGTCCCAGAGGTTCCCCCCCATCACCCCCCTAGCTGCTCTTCTGAGTGTCCCCGGCCTGCCCGGCATATGGGCAGGGACACACACTTAACTTGAAGCTGGCAAGCTGGCAGGGGCAGAGCCATTCTGTTGCTCTGTCCCTCCTCTGCCCCAGTGGAGTGGTCCTCATTGCCAAGAGTCCTAGCTGATGGTCATCGCTGGCCAGAATGACCTGGAGGACAACAGACATGCCTCACCAGGACAAGACACCCCCTATGCTTATTTTTAGTTGCCCCCTCTTTGTTTTTAATAGAAATGACACATGATGCTTGGCGCCAGTGGCTTACACCTGTAATCCTAGCTACTTGGAGGCTGAGATCTGAGGATCAAGGTTAAAGCCAGACCAGGCTAGAAAGTCCATTAGACTCTTATCTCCAGTTAACCAAAAAAGCTGGAAATGGAGCTGCGGCTCAAGTGATAAAGCACTAGCCCTGAGGGACCTGGGCCTGAGTTCAAGCCCCAGCACCAGCAGAGCGTGGATAGGAGGAAGGAAGGGAGGGAGGGAAGGAGGGAGGGAGGGAAGAAGAAAGGAGGTAACACATGTATAGGGCAATGAAGTCAATTTAAAATATGGAAAGATACTTTGATACGCTAAGCTCAGAATCACCGTATCTATAAACGGGAGCACTGTGGCTTATGCTGGAGTTCTGGAAGTCAGCTGGGTGCTACAGGAAGTTCTGAGTTACTCTCAGCCTATGACTCATGTCCCAGCAGAGATGTTGACCTTGGTTCACTCTTAGCTGAATGAAGGCCAGCTCTTGATTTTCCCTGCTGACATGGAGGATGGGTGGGAGAAGTCACTGGCGCAAAGACAGACAGTTTACCAACCCAGGCAATTCAACTAGGGTAGATAAAAACACTTCACTGAGCACATTAAAAAAAAATATATCTTTTTCATTTTGGTCCCGAGGATTAAACCCAGGACCTCACACATGCTATGCCCATACCCACCTTTAAAAATTTCATTCTGGGGACTGGGAAGGTGGCTCAGTGGTAGAGTGCTTGCCTCACATGCATGAGGCCCTAGGTTCGATTCCTCTGCACCACATATGCAGAAAAAAGCCAGAAGTGGTGCTGTGGCTCAAGTGGTAGAGCACTAGCCTTGAGCTGAAGAGCTGAGGGACAGCGCCCAGCCCCAGAGTCCAGGCCCAGGCCCAGAGTGCAGGCCCCACGACCGACAACAACAACAAAGAAATTCATTCTGAAACAATGCAGATCAGGCTGGCCTTGACTTTGCAATCCTTCTGCCTCCGGTTCCCAAACAGCTGGGGTTACAGGTATGAGCTACTGCACCCAGCCTTGAGCTCATCTTGGAGGCATAGTTTTAAGAGGTAAAGTTTTTCTTTCCTGCTTTTAATCCAGAGATTAAAGTGGCAGTAGAAATATTGATGATTAGATTCTAACAAATCACAGAATTTAATTAGGTTGCTGTGATTTGTCTACAATAGAACAATATGAGATTTATTGATGTGATTACTTTTTAGAATAAAACTTTCTTCTCCTATCTTGTGGAGAGATTTCATCCCCAAAGGGAGTGTGCTATGGCAATTTTGGCTGCCCAGAGAGAGGCCTGCCCTTGATTTTGTGAGAGAAGTCAAGTCGAGATGAGTTGGGCTACACTGGTAGCCAGGCTCTCCTTATTGGGCTTCACAAGTCCTAATCTACCATGTTGCTGGCTGCATTTCAATGCCAAATGAAAGAATCAATGCAGGAAAAGAATAGATTGGGCACATTAGTTTCCTGTGGGTGAGCAAATGAGCCTATTAGGGGTTTCCTAGCTCTATTGGGACCCTTATTTTTCTCAGGAGAGATCAATTATATCAAGGAAACTGTTATTTCTCAGGTGGTCAGCGTCTGGCTGCTAATTCCAAAGGCAGATTCTCTGCAGTCCTTCTTCACAGCTATCTAGAAGCTGCCTGGCTTTTTTCCCCTTTGCAACTGGCCTATTTTCCTGACACCTGCAGTCACGGCAAAGGGCGTCAGAGAAATGCATCCTCATGATCCATTATTCGCTTACTTCTTCATAACACGATACCTTTCGTGGTGCTTAATTTAAACAGCAGGTTATCTTCAAGCTCTTTCATCTTCCGCTTATTAAACGTAACATCCTCCATAAGTTTAACCCTCTCGGACTCTAGCTCCTATTATTGAAAAGCAAAACAGTAAATAATAACAACATCAGAAGGGTAGTTACCAGCTGGGCAAACCCAACATGTTAGTGTTTATTACCAAGTTGAAAGGTTTAAGCACTGTGTCTTTCCAAAGATGGAAGCAATGACTACCATCAGTCAACTCTAGCTGTATTTTTGTTTCTCTGAATAATTAAGTCTACATCCACAGATGTTCAGCTTCCATAGCACTTATACTGGCATGCATGAGATAACTCAGCACCAATACTGCCCCCACCCCAATGCCCTGAACCCCCAGTCTCTTCTCCAGCTCCGTGCAGAAGAGTGTACCATTCTCTCTTCCCCCCTCTCACCCTGCCCCTCTGAGAAATACGAACTCTATCCACAGAAAGAGAGAGGCCTTGGAGATACCCAGGCAGATAGCAAGAACCCAGGGGGACACCGAGGCCAACTGTGAGCTCTTGGCATGAGTCCCACCTCTCCAAGTACCAGGACCAGCTGTGGTGTGAGAACTCGCCAGTGCAAATTCATTTGCCACTGACAAGCAACTCCTCAGCCAGAGGGCTTATGAAAGGCTTCCATCCTACGGAAATGACACATCTTAAAATTTATGTCTGGGCTGTAATCCTAACTACTCAGGAGCCTGAGATTTTAAGATTATGGTTCAAAGCCAGCCTGGGCAGGAAAGTTCATGAGACTCTTATCTCCAGTTAACCACCAGAAAACTGGAAGTGGAGCTGTGACTCAAAGTGATAGAGCACTATTCTTGTACAAAAGAGCTCAAGGACAATGACCAGGTCCTGAGTTCAAGCCCTATGGCCAACAACAACAAAATTTTGCCTGGGAATCATTCCACAGGTTTCTAAGTTTGTAAGACGATGCAGTGAACATCCCTACACCCTTTACGTGGATCCCCAAACAACTCTGCCTTACTCTTCTCTCCCCCTGTTCTTGCGGCTGCTGGTGGTAATGGAGTTATTGCAGACTCTCCTATTGCGATGTCATGATCTTTTACCCCCAAACTTGTTAACAAATCCCCTAAGGGTAGCACCCTCTCACATCACCAGAGCCCAGTGTCCAAACCCAGAAAGTTTAACACCAATACAGTTCCTCTTAATACATACTAAACTGAAATCATCTCTAAAACACCCTCTGATGCAATTTGCTCTCATCCTAGCCAGTCACGTGTTCCCCGTGGGATGATTCTGTTGAAAGGTAAATTCTAACTATTCCTTTGAGCACACTTACTTCAGGAATTCCACCACTCTCCAAAGCCTTCCTGACCTCCTCACAGCCTTTACCTGCCACCGGCCCTGCTGTGGTCCAGTCCTTCCGCACGTGACCCCGCCAGAGGAAATGGAGGCACCAGCAACATGGGTAGCATCACAATAGAACACACACCTATTGGCTGAGACAGGCTAATGCCCTTGCTCAACACCAAGACCAGTGTAACTGCCACTGTATGATGGGTGGGTAGTATCTTCTGGGTGATGTGGACTGTATCTGTGCTTGAAGGGGAAAGCTCCTGAATCATCTTCAATAAAGGGATTGCTCCTATGTGGTAGTACAGGAGTCCCAGACAAAATGAAATCATGTACACTTGCTTTTCAAAAATGATGTGGCCCACCAGGTGTCCTAACAGCTGGCCAAGTTTTTGCAGCATAACCTCTAAAGTTTCATCTGAGAGGCCCGGCAGGGTAGGAAATCCACGTGTTCTAATAGGATAAGACCCTTTCCTCACTGGTCTCCATTGGCTCATTTGTACAAAAAATGTGGGAGTATAACAGCAGAATTGTGAGGAGGGTCACCCTCCTGCATATTAAGTGTGCATTCTGGGCTGGGTACGGTGGTGCATGCCTGCAATCCCAGCGACTCAGGAGGCAGAGATCAGGAGAATCTCAGTCTGAGGGTGGCTCCAGTTTTTGTTTTGTTTTGTTTAAGTATGAGACCTTACCTGAAAAATAACTAAAGCAAAAAAGTAGGGAAAGATGGGGTGTGTGGCTCAGGTGACAGAGTACTTGCCTAGCAAGTGTGAGGCTCTACTTCAGTACTGGAAAAAAAGGAAAGTGCTCCCATTAGACAGGACGGCCCCATGGGGGAGGTGGACCAGAGAAATGTGGAAATAGACCAGCAGTGCCAGGTCGACCCGGGGACTGGTTTCCAAGCTCACACCATGGTCCTGAGGGGGCCGGGAGCTGGGAGCTGCAGACCAGCTCTGTCGGGGAGCGGGGAGGGAGTTCCAGGCCCTGCCTGCCTTGCAGAAGCCCCGGGTTTGCTGGAAACTGAGAGCCAACAACTATGACAAGAGGGACCGGGCCAGCCCCAGAGTGAGACACCTGATACATGGCGGGGGGGGGGGGGGTGCAAGGGCAGGAGCGCCTCTCAGGGAGCCCTGCCGTCTCTCCTCTCCTTCTCCCTGGGTGTGTGTGTCCTCCTCCCTTCCTGTCTGCTCCTCGTCTTCTCCTGCCCTCCCTCCCGCTCCGCACGCCTCTCTGTTATGATTTCTAACCTTGTCTTTTCCTTGAATACTAAAATCAATTATATTTAAGCAAACATCAACTTTCTTGTGCTCTATGCAAATATTTTTAATGTATGCAAATATAGTTTATGCATAACATTTAATGTGTTCTGAGCATTACCTCCAAAATTAACTTAATCTTAAATCTATCTCTCAGACTCTTCCAGGGCTCAGCAGTTCCTTACTTCCTGGGAGCTTCGGCTCTGCCTGCCAGTGCCCCTCGGAGGGCCCCCGTGGCTGCCAGCTCACCTGCCTGCACACCATCCATCTACACCCCCACACATGCCAAGGCCTACACACAAGCGTGTATATCTGTGTGTACAGGGTGTGTGTGTGTGGTATGTGTGTATGTATGGTATGTGTGTATGTTGTGTATAGTATGCATGTGTATGGTACGTGGTATGTTTTTGTGTATGGTGTGTGTATGGAGTATGCATGTGTGTACGGTGTGTGTCCTGGCCGGGGCATGCTCTCTGCCCTCTGCCCTCTCCCCAGTGCCTGCCCTATGCACCTGCTTCACAGTGCAGGTCACCTTTGCCCTCTGAGCTCTCCCCTCTCCCCTGCCCATGGACCTGCTTCTCGGTGAGGATGACCCTCCGCAGCAGCTGGTTCTCCAGCCCCTTCATGGTGACGGTGAAGTCGATGACGGAGGTCTTGGCGTTGATCTCGGGCGTGAAGGCCGGGTTGGGCAGCTTGGTGGTGATGTACAGCTTGAAGGTGTCCATGATGTCGCACTCCTTGTCGCCCACCTTCACCTGCACAGACCAGCGCGCCTTAGTGGCTGCTCACCATAGCACCAGGAATCTGGCCCCGTGTGGCAGCGCGTTTACCGCAAGCCAGGCTGTGAAGCTTTAATGAACTCAAAGGGAAGCTGTGAACATTTAATCACTGGTCTTAAAAAATAAAGCCAGATCATTTGCAAGTGATTTAGATCTGTGGTCCTGCCGAAGATGCGGGCTCAGGGGCTCTTGCTTGGCTATTTTGCTCAAGGCTGGTGCATTACCACTTGTGCCACAGGCCCACTTCTGGCTTCTTGCTGGTTAATTGGAGATAACAGTCTCATGGACTTTCCTGCCCCCTGCTGGCTTTGAATCTGGATCCTCAGATCTCAGCCTTCTGAATAGCTAGGATTACAGGCGTAAGCCACCAGCGCCCGGCTCTGCTGAAGATGGTTTAAGCCATAATATTAAGCAACTCAACTGGAAGAATTATCTCAAACAAAGGGTGAATAAAGGAAAATGTGGACACACCTAAGACTTGACTGCAAAAATTTAGTGATTAATTATCATTCTCATTGCTCTATAAAGCACAGAAGCTGCAATCATTCTTTTCTGGATGGGGAAGTTGTTTCCTATTATGACACTTCATTGCGCTTATAGTAAGTCTTACCTTACCTTCCATAGCCCTGTCTCAAACATATCTGACTACAGAAAAAGTTTATAATTTTCTAAGAAAAAAACATTTTCCCCAGAGTGTTAATTTAATTGATAATTAACTGATAATTGAGTGATGATTAATTTCTTAAATGTTGCTATTTGCAGTACATTGGAAGACAATGTTTTGGGATTTTTTGCAATCTAAATCTCAGGTGGAAGTTACAGTTTTACAGTGTCTTAGATTTCTGGCTAATCTCAATCCTGTACATGAGAAAAACCTAAGACCAAGGTTGCATCCCAAGCATCAGACCTTCACACCAAAGGCAAGAATCTAGAGGCTTCTTTGGGTGGGGGGGAGGGGCGGGGAACCAGGATTCGAGCTGAGCACTAGGATTTGAGCCTAGGTTTGCTAGGTTACTCTCCTACTTGAGCACACCTCCAGCCCTGCTTTTCTCTGATTATTTTGGAAACGGAGTTTTGCCTGGTCTCAAACCTTGATCCTCCAGACTTCAGCCTCCTGAGTAGCTAGGATTAAAGGTAAGAATCAAACATTCCTGGCTCTAAAAAAAAAAAAAAGGACCTTCAGAACAGAGTTTCTGTAAACTCCTTTGGTATGTTAAAGAACATATAAATATAAGCCAGATGCAGACAAATGCTGTATATGATCTCACTTATGTGCAAGAGCTTCAGAAAGTCAAACTCCTGCAAGCAGAGGAGGCAACCAAGGTCACCTGGGTCTGGAGGTAGAAATGGGAGATGTTGGTCAAAGGGCACAGACATCCATCTGTACGATGGACAAGTTCCCTGGGTCTAAGGCACCACCTAGGTGGTGGTGGATCTATTAATTAACTAGATTGTAGTTACCATTACATGACACATCACTACATCAAAATATTACATCAGGTATTTCACATATATGAAATCTCTGTCAATGCAACAATTCAGTGCCATTTTAAAAAATGTGCCCGAGCCCACAGTAGCTAAACAAATCACTTAGATTTTGTTCTCAGCTCCCTTATCTGAAACAGACAAATTCTGCTTCCGAAGCTCAGAGGAGAAACTACACCGATTCTTCACAACATTGACTGAGTTTCATTCAATTTCCCCCACAAATGTTTGCAAGCTTAAGGATACACCAGAGGCTCCATAAACCAAAATGGCATATAAAATAATTCACATTGTGAGCAGAATTTTATAAATAAATCTGTCTTCATTTAAAGAGAACATGTGCACTCTTTACTTATTCATTGATACTTGGGCTAAATATGGAGACTAAGGTGGAAAAAAATTTAGTTGGAAGTAAAACCAAAGAAAGCTAAAAGGAGATACTAATTGTAACTAAAAGAGAAACTTGGAAAACAATTCATATTATCAGAAAGAATAGTCCATAGCTTCTAGCAAAGCTGGTGAGTTTAGACTGAAAGTTAATAATGAGAGCAATGGACAAATCAATATCCATTTATTAAAATGCTATTTTCTCCAGTGGGGAAATCCAGATTTTCTTTAAAAACATGCACATGACTTAATAAAAAAAACAATGTTCTCAGAATTGCCACAAAGTATTTTTTCCCTGTGTAATGCTAACATCATGTTACTAAGACTAGAAGTCTATTTCCTTAAAATATCATTTAGTTTTAACTAAATGGCCACTCTTACCAAGCTACTGCTCTCCTCTGTGTTTTATAAATTAAAATTTGTATAAATTTTTATACATACTATATTTTCATAAAATAAGTTATTGAAATATCATATTGTACCAATTAATATGAAAATTATTATGTTTTAATATATCAGTTTAAAAAGTAAATTTAGATGGTCAGGAGAGTTGTAGTTCGAGGCCAGTCTGGGAAAAATGTCATTAGAAAGTCCCATCTCAACCAACAAGCCAAGCATGATGGTATAAACCTGTAATCTCAGCTACTCATTAGGCATAAGAAGAAAGATTATAGGCTGAGGCCAGTCCCAGGTAAAAACATCAGACAAAAAAGGGCTAGAGGTGTGGCTCAAGCAGTAGAGCACAAGGCCCTGAGTTTAAACCCCAATGCCACCAAAAAAAGGAAATTTAATTTTTAAAAACTTTTAGCAATTATGAAATGTACAATACATTGTACCCTCTAAATCTGTATAACTGCTGGCTCCCAGTTAATGAAAAACCAAGTGACAGCTGCTACTTTGAAAGAGAAGAAAGGAGAACAACTTTTATGCCTGATTAAAAAAACAAACCCTCAAAGTGTGACGGTATGGCTGATTTTCTGGCACAGCCTCCACTCCCACCGCTTGCACTGCTATGCTCACAAAGATAAGTAGATGTCACCATTGCGCCTCTCTTGCTCTCTCACAAATGAAAGCTCACCTTGAAACTGGTGCCTGATTTAATGAAATTCTTTTCTAACACATTATCCAAGGCGGGATCCAGTTCTTCCCGAATGTCCTCAATGAGAAGGGGTCGCCCCAAGGACAGGCAGTCTTCCAGATGTGTGCGGAAGTATTTGTGGTTCAGAGTTGTCACCTAAAAACAATACACGCATTGGTTTGCAAATGTTGTGAGGAACGTCCCTGTTCCCAAGGGAGAACCAGAGGCTAGGGACAGGGGACTAGCAACAGTAAGGGCGGCACAGGAAGCCTTCTTTATTAAAAAAAAAAAAAATATATATATATATATATATATATATATATAATAGTAATAATGATAAGTAAGTAAAAGCTACAAGCAAAATTCATTTCAAAACTTGGTAGGGTCCTGAATTTTGGATGCCCTGATAGACAATGCCGTCTCTTCCTTGATCTGCAGGGGAGACACCACTGGCTTCCGGAAGATGGCGTGTCAGAGCTCCGCCTCTGACAATGGAGGGAGCTGTCAGGATTCACCCTATTAAACTACAGGACGATCCTGCCCAGCTCTACCCACACTTCAAATGTAACCCTGTATGACTTCAAGGCCAACAATGAACTTGGGCCTGCTCTGTAGTGCCTAAATGGCCTCTGCCTGAGATCATTATCTTTGCTGCTTTCCCATAAATACAAATTTTCAAATCCCCCATGTTCAACATTGGCAAAGGCAACAACAGAGATGGAGAATGAACAAGATGAGGGAGAGGGATGTCAGGAGAAAATGCAAAATAACAAATATAACCAGAGCTGTTGCCCCACGTGGCTGCTACCCAAGTTAAGAGAATCGGTGAGCATCCGTCAGAGAGTTTGGATCTGGGATGTCCTCATGGGTTCCAAAGGCTCAATAGATATCTGAAGAGGTGAAGCCTAGTGGGGGTCATTAGGTCATGACAAAGATGACTTTAAAGGAGATAATGGAACCCCAGCCGTTTCCTTCCTCTCTTTTTTTCCCTTCCCTTGTGTATTTAAGGTTCAGTTCCCAGACGATGGCACTATTTTGGGAGTCTAAAGAGGGGAGGCCTCACTGAAGGAAGTGGGTCCTTGTGTGTGGGTGGGTATCCTCAGTGGCTGTTTCTTACCCCAGGCTCCCCCACCATAGGGTCCCACCACCATGAAGTTCCACCCAATTGCCCAGGGCCAAGTAACCACGTGACAGAGCTCCCTGAATCTGGGCAGCCAGGTTCTTCCTCCTTTAAGCTGTTCTGTGTGAGGTATTTTGTCAGAGTCACACAAAAATAACCAACATACAGGCTTCACAGTGAACTTCTTTTTATACATCTGCTGCCTAGACTTGTCCCAGGTCCAAACACAATCCCCAAACCAGTGAGCCAAAATAACCCTTTTGTATTCTAAGCTGATTCGCTCAGGCATCTGGTACATTCATGGGAAGCTGACAAGGGTGACAACCTCATGACTGGCAAATTGGATTGAAAGTTTGGGGGAAAAATTATAATTTCCCACACACCAAACTGTTACATACCTGCAAATCATTTTCTTTTTCCTTTGACTTAATCCAAGTTTTGCCCTGAGTTTGTGGATCTATGAGGAGTGGGTATCTGGTGGCCTTTGTCACAATAATGCCATTCTGAATTGAGAGGTCATCTCCTGGCAGTCCTTGCAACCCCCACTCGCCAATCTGGTTAACAGGAAGTAAGAAGGACCATTCAAGCAAGAACAGGGATGCTTTCATTAATGGTTAAGAGTTTACATAATGTAAAAAAGTAACATAAACTTATAAAAAAAGCAACTGAGTCCTTTCACTAGTGATCCAACCTTTCTGCTGCTGTATTTTCATTCTCAGGGGAATCCGTGTAAATTTAAGGTCTATCAGACCAGGTTGGAAGATAGAGCAGACCATGAAGGAAATGAGATGGCAGAGAAGAAGAGAGGCCCCACGGAGAGGCCCACTACACTTCTTCCTGCCCTTGGGTTCTGGCCACCTGTGTAGGTGATCATACATCAGGAGAAGCATTAGCTGAGATGTACTCTTGTAGGAGTTTACTGCTGACACTTATGACATTTCCTGCCCCAAATCTGGGAGAATCACAAGCCTCTGTCCATGAGGTCAGTAAAATTACCAAAGATCCTGCCATGCAGCCAGCCTCCACCTTTGTGAAATTAGCCCCCTGGTCCTGCAAGGGCCATAATGAATAAGGAATACCTTGGCCCACCTTGCTTCGAGAGAGCCCCATGTACCACCCATGCATAATCCCTGTAAGGAAATATGCTCAATGTTCTTAGAATTGAAGAAGACCAATTTTTACCTTTTAAACAGTCAACCAAAAATTAATGGCATTACATCTCCTAAGGAAGCGGCAACTGGAGAGTATACTTGCAAATTGGGAATGAAACTCCTAAGTACAAATTGCCTGGAAAGCATGTATTTCCACTAGCGCTCTGAAAGTTATGCTGGAAACCAATGGGGCCTGGCACTGAACTCCAGAGAGGAGGGCTAAGAGTGGGGCCGCATGACTCCAAGGATCCCAGAGAATGCCATTAGATGGTAAGTGATTTTAAAAAGGTTAATGCCAGCACTACAGTGCCTACATTTGCCTTAAATGTTTGGAAGACAGTAGGACAGCAGGAATATATTTTGCGTGTGTATGCCAGTCCTGAACTCAGGGCCTGGGTGTTATCCCTAAGCTACTATGTGTTCAAGGCTAGGATTTTAGCATGTGATCCATGGCACCACTTCTGGCTTTTTCTGGCAGTTTATTAGGGATAAGTCTCACGGACTTTCCTGCCTGGGCTGGCCTCAAACCATGATCCTCATATCCTCAGCCTACTGAGTAGATAGGATTACAGGCGTGCGCCACTGGTACCTGGCTGACAGCAGGAATAGTTTATATAAATAGCAAAGACATGAGAACAGCTCCGTGTGTGAAAGCATGGAATTCACAAATGATCTTTCAGTTTCCAACAGTGCCATTGGTTTTCACTGGAAAGCAAGATTCCACAAAATGCAAAGGAACTCCTATACCACAAAGAAAATTCTTCTCTTTTTTCATCCTTCAGCTTTTTAAAACAATCTTTTCAATGAAAGGGAAATGGGGGAGGGGGCAGGAGAACAATAGGTGGGCAATCATTTGTTTGTTAAGAACTAAGACGAGGCTAAAACACAAATATGATAGAAAAGTAAGACTCACGGTTGGAGGATCCACCAACATCGCAATCAGATTCAGGTTTTCCGTGAATGGAATCTTCCGGGATCTCAACTCCAACTCCCATTGCTCTTTCAGCAAATAGTTCCTAAATATCTGATTGAAAGGCCCAAGGTAGGAGAGGAAGCCAGTGCAGAGCAGCACATCACCCACCAGTCTGTTGGGGAAGAACACCAGAGTCCGTCACCTCATGCGTCTCAAGCTTTTCCCCTGAGTAGCTGGGAAGATCACAGTGTGGTTTGGTCCTGTGAGACCCATCTTCACTGCTGCCAAGCACTCAGAGACCTGCATGAGAACCTCCAAATCTAAAGAGGTCAAAGGAGCAGGCCAAGGAACAAGAAACTTCCCTCCTGAAGCCACAGGTACAGAGCTAGGCTCCGATGAAACACATACCACAACCAGAGTGCCACTCAACTAGCTTTTCTTCCCTTTTTTCTTTTTCAGCCAGCCCAGGCCGGCTCAGAATTTCAATCTTCAGATCTCAGCCTCCTGAAGTGCTAGGATTACCAATGTGAGCCACTGATGCCTAGCTCCTATTCTTCTCTCTCTCTCTCTCACCCTCTCTCTCTCTCTCTGTCTCTCTCTCTCTCTCTGTCTTGATGTCTCCCTCTCTGTCTCTCTCTTACTCTCTTTTTTTTGGTTGGTTGTGGGGCTTGAACTCTGGGCCTGAGCTCTTCAGTTCAAGGCGAGCGCTCTACTGCTTGAGCCACGGTACTACTGCTGATTTTCTAGTGGTTTATTGGAGATAAGAGTCTCATGGAGTTTCCTGCCTGGGCTGGCTTTGAACCGTGATCCTCAGAGCTCAGCCTCCTGAGTAGCTAGGATTACAAGCGTGAGCCACCAGCACCTGGCTCCTATTTCTTTTTTATTTCCTTCCTTTAAATTTTCCAAGAATTTCTATTAGATATCAGCACCAAACAAAACCTTTGAATCTAGAACCGTGGATCCACACTTTCAAGATCACTGCAATCAAGAGTCAAGAACTGAATGAGGATCTAGACCGCCCAGACAAATACCACCACTACCAGATGGGCCTCACCTGCAAGCCCACACTGCCCAGTCACCACTGTGGTAAAAAAAAGCTTCACCACTCTCCTCCCCTGTCTCCTGGATGCATGTTTCCAGCTGTTCATACTTTTTTAAGTGATGGGATTCCAAGATGAAAGACAAGGGGAAAAGTACTTGTCCATGGACAAAGAGGTAGATTTGGAGCAATCGGCGAAAGAAGAGGGGGAATATAAACAAAGTCCGAAACCCATACCGATTAATCTGAGCTTTGAACTCTTTACTTTGCTGGGTCCACCGGACTTTCTCTCCGCTCAGCCCATCGATGAGGGCAGAGGCAGCCTGCATCTTCTTCCGGCACATGTCTGCGTCATTGAGCAGATCCTGCATATGTAAAGAAAAAACATTGCAGAGAACCTGCTCAAGTGCTTGATGGAATGTCTACAAAGCACACATAATGCCACATGGAGAACACTACAGACATCACATATTAGGTTCTGATCATTCAGTCAAGAAAAGCAAATTTTGTAGGAGAGAACTCAAGTCATGTACACAAACCACATCATGTGGTTCCCCAAGCATTTGAAGAACCTGTTTGTGGTTTGTTTTTGTGCTGGGGAGACTGGAACATAGGGCTTGGGCGCTGTCTGTTAGGATGATGAAAAACACAAAAAGAACTTGAGAACCAACAACTCAAACTAAGAAGACACGGCCGGTGAATAAGGACATTCTGGTGAGCACTTTCACCATGAATATTGGCCTAATATTCCCAATACAATACATCCTCAGGTTGCATCATTTAGTATGTTTAATCTCACCATTTTCTCATTCATTGCTGCATCAAATTTCGCTTGTACTTTATCCAGCTCGGCTTGCTTCTCGTCCAGCAGTGCCTGGGCTTTCCCTAGCTCAGCATTAGCCACGGCTAAGCGGCCTTCCTGCTTGGCCAGGTTCGCCTGAAACACAGGAGCAGGTGGTGTGCAAAGAACAGTTAACAGTTCTATGAAGCATGTGTGATTTAAATTGGCAAATGATGGCAGAAAGGACTCGATTTTTGCAGTGGCTTGTGCATTCACACTGTGGGAAGAGAAGGTCTTAGGAGTATTTCAAATTTTTTCCCTTTTATTAATGTTCAATATGAAAAAAATAGAAAAATATAGCAATGGCTAGGAAGCAGAGAAATTACCACCCTTGATTTTTCTAAGACATTATTTGCAAATGTAGGCAGGTGGTATTTTGAGGAAGGGGAGGTGTTGGTGTTGTTTAATGTAGCCTGAATCATTTTTCCACATCCTCAAACATTTTGAAGAACTTCAGTGATATGGAAGCATGCACGAGGCGAATACCTCATAACTTAGCCTCTTCACTGCTCTTATGCATGTCTGCCTCTCCCTCCATTTGTAATTCATGTAATATGGCAGTAAATTCTATTGGATATTTAAACATTTTGCATTGTTCCTTTTGTAAGGATTCTCTGAAATGAAATTACTGCAGCCGCAGCATTTCATCTTTTTCTCTGTTTAGTTATTAGCTTACGTTAGTTACACAGAAGAGAAGGATTTCACTGTTACCTATCTAGGTATGTTTACAATGTATCCAATCAATCTTGTCCCCTCTAATATTCTTCTTTGCCCCATCATCTCCCCTTCCCAAAACAATTTTCAGTATGTTTTCTTGTTCTATTTACATAGTTACAAACAATCTATTTTGACCTTTTTTTCTGAGTCTTATAACACCATAATTTTCTGTGTCTTGTACAATTAAAATAATGAACCAGTAATCTAGGCCTGGAGCTCTTTTGGGTACAGCTTCTGCAATAACTGTCTTCTTTTCTTTCTCAATGTTTGACTTACTTTAGTTCAGCTCTTTTTTTTTTTTCCTGAAGAAAACTTTCCATTCACTAAGATTACCAGATGAATTTACATGTAATTTTAGAAACCTTGGTTCTTTAATTATTGAAACCCACACATCTATGATTATATGGGTTTCTCTTTCTCTGCTCATTTATTTTTGTATATTTTCTTCTTGATTAGATTTTCCAGGAGCGTAGCTCTTGACTATTTATCTTTGCCAAGCACCAGTTCTTAGATTTGCTCATTAATTCTACTGCTTTTCTCCCCTCTCGATTTTAATGTTACTTTTATTAGCTCTGTTGTGTTTTCTTTACACGTAGTATGTATGTGTGTTTGTGAGTATGTACTTTAACTCTTCAGTAGAAAGTCTAGTTTCTCTGATGCACTTAAAGGCTAAGCATGAACCATTTCAGCTATATTTCAACACTTTTACCCCCCCGTAATTCCCTATATAGAAGTAACTGGTACTTTTTAAAAAATATATAAATTTTCTAATTTTATTGCATGTGACCCCAGGAATTACTGCCTTGGGGAATTTACTCAAGGACTTCATGAATACAATTCATTTTTGTCAGTGAGATATAATTTAGTATTATTTGCTTATATTGAAGAAAGTGCAATGTAGTTCATCAACTGAAAAAGACCAGTGTGTGATTCTGAGTATGGTGACTCATGCTTGTAATCTCAGCTACTCGGAGAGGGAGATCGGAAGAATTGTGGTTCTAGACCAGCCCAAGCAAAAAAAGTATCAAGACCTCCCCCCACCTCAATTTATAAGGATGGGGGTGGTGGCATGTAACTGGCACCCCAGCTACTCGTGAAGTTTGAATAGGAGGACTGCATTCCAGGTCAGCCTGGGCACACACAACCACAATATCCTGCTTGAAAATATCTAAAAACTAAAAGGGCTAGGGGTATGGTTCAAGTGATAAAGCACCTGCCTAGCAAGTCTGAAGCCCTGAGTTCAAACACCAGCACTGCCAAAACAAAAATCCTGTGTGAAATTTCTATATGGCTATTAATTTACACCCCTCCCAGAACTGGCAGAACAATTCTGATGCAAATGAAAATGTAGGACACTCTTTCTTAAAATATTCTTTTGTTTTGTTTTGCTTTTGGGGTCCGGTCGTGGGGCCTGAACTCTGGGCCTGGGCGCTGTCCCTCAGCTCTTCAGCTCAAGGCTAGCACTCTACCACTTGAGCCACAGCGCCACTTCCGGCTTTTTTCTTTTTGTTTATGTGGTGCTGAGGAATTGAACCCAGGGCCTCATGCATGCAAGGCAAGCGCTCTACCACTGAGCCACCTTCCCAGCCCCTCTTAAAATATTCTTAAGAAGAGCAGTACACTAGCTCAGGCTCTTCCACACATGCATCCTGTGTGCACACTTCCAAGGATGGCCCTCTGACCACCAGCTCTGTGGAAGACAGACTGTGTGTGTCACCAACAATTTCAAGTTATGAAATTGTTTTTGTTCATTTCCACTTAAGGTGCTCATGTGTTATGTAATCATAACCAGATACTATTTTCTTTCTTTCACAGAGCTTTGTTTTTTTAATGTGCTGGTTTCAGGATTTGAACTCAGGACCTTATGCTCATCTGGCTTTCTTGCTCACTGCTGGAGCTCTACTATTTGAACCATGCCTCTGGTCCAGCATGTCTGTGATGAATTGGAGATGAAATTTTGTGGTATTTTCTTCCCCAGGCTGGCTTCTGCTAATAGCAGAAGAGTGACGGTTAACTTTATGAAACATGATTTCCTGGGAGAAGGAAGATTTACCTTCAGAGGCAACACTTCCCTGTTGATGCCATAAAATATCACCATAGCAAGTGTCCAAGACAGCAGACCAGCCACGTTTCCACAGACTTTTTTGGCACTTTCAAAGGTGTAATCCTCCATATTGAAATAGGGCTGCAACAACTCAACTGTCTCTTCGTTGATTGTGTCCTTTGGGAACTGCTGAAGGCTCCACAGGAATCCTGTCGCACTCATCAGCTGGAAAACAGTATCACAGCCTCTCAGGCCTGGGGGAGAAGAGATATTTTCCTCCTGCACCAGTGTAGACTCCTAAATAGACTTTTTCTTTTCCAAAGAAGTAACAAGTCAATTTGCTCTAAGAATGCCACCTACCACTACTGGCAATACTCAACCTAGATGTGTATGTTGCAAATTTGTCTCCCAGTTTCCATGGCAAAAGAAGAAGAAGAAAAGTATCATTTTCCAATCCACTAAGTGTGTCTATGTACCACTGGCCACGCAGGCCATACCACTGGCCACGCAGGCCTTCTTTTACAGATGGGGCAGGGCTGCCCCTGAGACTACAGAACCAAGCCAAGCCATTGGTTCTGGACAGATCTCATCAAAACAATTAGCTTCAAGTCTGCCCCTACATGGTGTGTGTGTGTGTGTGTGTGTGTGTGTGTGTGCGTGTGTGTGGTTTTGTGTGTGTGTGTGTGTGTGTGTGTACAGATCTCAATTAGGGGCTTAAACTCAGAGACTTGCACCTTCACTTGACTCTTTTTGCTCAAGGCTAGTGTGCTCTACTGCTTAAGCCACATGCACTCTCAGTATTTTGCTGGCTAGTTGGAGATAAGAGTCTCTCAGATTTCTCTGCCAGAGCTGACTTTGAACAAAGATCATCAGATCCTAGCCTTCTGAGTAACTAGGATTACAGGCATGAGCCACCAGTGCCCAGATTAAACTTCTCTTATACATTGATTATCTCGAGTATTCTGTTACAGCAATGGAACACTGAGTAATACATGTAGTTTACGATCAACTCTTCCATACACACCAGTCAGTCACTGTCAGCTGGCCTATAGGTAGTGTCCTCACCTGGGGGCCACATGCCCCACTAAGACTTCACAAAGATAAAGTGTGCTTGCCTTTAATGATTCCCCCCAGGATGGCTTGCAGCACGGTTTCTCTGGATCCATAGTAACAGGGTCGATTTTCTTTTGAAACAGTAACAATACACAGTCCATGATCCTCATAATAAGATGCGGGGGTTTTGCCAGCTTCCTGACCGTGGCAATATCATTTGGTTTGATAGTCTGTAATTTGGGAACAGGAATCAACATTTGTGTGGAGTGGTGTTGTCACCTATGTGGAGAACTAATCAATTAAGACCAAAACCTTTAAAACATATTTAATCACCAGTTCCTGCCATTATCTCCTGAAAGGTTTGAATTCCAAGATTTTCACATAAGGCATCTCTCGTTCTTTACAGATTTGCAGTTGATTTCTTGTTTGCTTTAAATTCCCTTTTCCCTGCTGCCCCAATTAATTGACTTAAAATACATCACTACCATTCGTTGCCAGCACCCCAGACATGTGTTAATGAGTCTTATTGATGTGTAACATTCAATAACCTGCATCTTCAAAGCAAAGAATCCACAGCCATGTGGATGTGGAGGAGGTGACAAAGCCCTGGATCTCAGAAATCTCACTTGCAGTCTTCACTTAGAAGGCTGTCTTGTGTAGGGAAGACAGTTGGGATTAAAAGGAAATAAGAGAAGTTATTATAAAAATATAGCTCATAAAAATGTTTTTTGAGAGCTCAGTGAACTAGTTTGGGGTTCAAACATTGCCTGATCCTAATATTCAAGCCAGGAAAGACTGGGAGACTGTATAACTAGTCAATTATCCCAAGATTCTCTTGGTTCAATGATGACATTGTTTTCTGTCTCTGCCTCTGTCTCTCTCTCTCATTAGCTTACATTTTGGTTATACAGGGAGGAGTGGGAAGAGAAGGGACAGGGAGACAAGAAAGGAAGGAAGGAGGAGGATTGGGCATGTGGCTCAAGTGGAGGAGTGTTTGCCTAGCAAATTTGGAGGCTCTAAGTTCAAATCTCAATATTAGCAGGAAAAAAAACAAAAACAAAAACAAAGAATGTCTCCAGTGTGCTTTCTTGGGTTTGTTTTTTTAGAAGTAAAGAAAGGAAAGGAAGGAGTCATCATGGCTGTGGATAACTAGCTTGGAACTGTATCACAAGACAGGTGGAGTAGTGATATTTGGAGAGGACACTGTGGGGACCCATGAGGTTCTGTAACTGTCACCTGATTCATTCGTGCTGTGGTTTAGGTGATCGTTCACCAGGGTTATTCCCCTGCAAGGGTGATTTTTGGGGATAAAAATAGATAAGCAGAAGTGACAACTTTAAACAAGTGTAACTTCAAAACCCTGAACCAATCCTGGCAAGATTTCAAATCGTAGTAAGGATTGGGTTCGCTTCTCTTGATTGCAAGACTCCAGTTGTGTGGCATGCAACATGGCGCCTGCTCGGCCCTGTGCTGGGAGGTTAACCACGCGCTGCTCACTCACATTCAGGGCGGCCTCTGCTTCTTCCAGGGCAGGTTTTGCCGCCTCCAGTTTTGACTCTGCTTTGACTTTCTCAGAATCAATTTCGTCCACGATCTTCTGGGCTTTGTCTTTCACCTCCTGCACTTCATTTTTCACTTTGGCTGAAGCCTGAGCACTTATCGTGACTTCCGCCAACACCTGCTCAAGAGAAAACAGATGGAAGCAAAGAGGAAAAGATAGCCATAGATGAGGGAATCTTCATTCAACAGACTATAAAAACATGTGAATAAGAGCAAATGTACGGCTGCCGTCAGTCAGAGGGCCGCTCATTCACCCCAGCAGCTGCCTAAGGGCCAAGCTTAAGTCTCCACTTTTAACTGACTCTTGGTGGTGCTGAAAGCCTGAAGCAGTGGCTGGAACAGCATGTGTACATCTACCCTTCTACCAGGGGGGTGCGGATGGTCTTTCATTGCTTTAATTTTTACCAGTTTTTCCCGCTACCCTTCTCTCTCTTCAACAAAAATTTGATGAGATTTGGGCCATCCTAGAAAACTGGGCCATAAAGAATCTTAAAGACTAAAAGTAGGTCACAGTCAAAGCAGATAGTCATAGACAGACGAGAGAGGGACAAAGACAGAGAGAGGGAGAAACAGAGAGAGAGAACAAATCTGTAGGTCTATACCCTATGTGTGTATGTTTGTATGTATATATACATATATACATAATACATATTATATATACATTATATATACATATATACATATACATATATATACAAGTCCTGGGGCTTGAGGGACTGGGTGCTGTCCCTGAGCTTTTTTGCTCAAGGCTAGTGTTCTACCACTTCCAGTTTTCTGGTGGTTAATTGGCTATAAGAGTCTCGCGGACTCTCTTGCCCAGGCTGGTTTTGAACCATGATTCTCAGATTTCAGCCTCCTGAGTATCTGAGCTACCAGCATCTGGCTTTAGATTATATTTTTTAATGGCACTTAAAAATAATACTTTTTAATATGAAAAATGTGCCTTATCATTAGTGACAGAATCAATGCAAATGCAAACTCACTTCATCTGCTTTCACAGAAGCCACGGCTAACTCCTTCTCCTTGACGGCAAGGTCCTGGGAGAGTTTAGCAACTGACTCACTCGCTTCCATGAGCTTATCGAGACCTTGACAAACACACAGACATACTCTTGCTGAGCCATGCGTATTCCCTCCCTCAAATATTTACTCAGTACTTACTATTTATATGGCACTGTATATGTAATATAACAAGCACACGATAATTAATTATGAACAAAAGCTTTTAAAAAATACACCTATCTTAGGAACAAAAACTCTGGCCTCGTTTCTAAGACTTTCAACAAGGGAAAGAAAACAGCTCTGACTAAAGAATATCATCTACTTGACACCCTCACCTGGTACCACAAAATAATAATAATTTTAAAAAATAATGATAATAATCAGAGAAGATTATTTAGCTACATTTAAGGGAAAGTCACCATGTCCTATCCAATAAGATTAGTTTGGCCCGGGAAATCTGCTTGGCTGGCTTAAGCTCACTTTGGCTCTGTTCATATTTCATACCAATCATTTCTGCCTCTGTAGCATACCATAGTTGAGGTAGTAAAAGAACTAGAATCCACCTTAACATTTCTGGTATAAATAAACCTGAAGGTAAGTGCTAAAAGTTACATGACTGACCCTGTAACTTTCAGGACTGTGAATCAGAGTGACTTCTTCACACTGCAAACAGATAGTGGTGTGAGGGAAATAAATGTCTCTAGGGGCAGGGAAGTACTCATTGTTTCTTTTCCAATCTGCTGTTGCAAACACCCCCACCATGATTGATTTCAAGCTTCCAAGAGACCCTTGGGAGCATAACACTGTCTATCTCCACAGTATAAACAAAACAGAAATCAATTTCCTCAAAACATTAAATAGTAGTAAAATAGTTTTTAAAAAGAGTGATGAGTTTTGAGTATTATTAAATATTCTTAATTTTAATGGGATTTACTTAAAGATAATTATATATGACTTGATTGTGTTTAAAAATCAGATTGTAAAATTGCTGAAATTTGCCAGTCAGCTCTCATGACCAGAGTGAGTCGGCTTCACCATATCCTGGATTCTAAAACATCCTGCAGAAAAGCAGTGAGTAGTGATGTTATCAGAGAAACCACACAAGTTTCTTCACAGAACTCATAGCCGGCCCCATACTTTCTGGACAAGCAATCGGTTCCACTGAACGCTTTCCTCCTTATGCTATACCAAGGCAGATGCTCACTCAGAAAGTCCATACTCGGGTAAACTACCTTTCCTTTGCATTTTTGTTTGCATTTGCTTTGCTTTTTTCCTGTATGTGAGAGATCTGAGGCCTCAACATGGCAGAATTGATATGCATCAAGTCAAATCACATCAAAACCAAAGACTGAAAGTGTAGTAGTCGTTTCTCAATTCTGCCTTCTCCCTGTTGGCAAGTGGCAGCTTGGGGCCTGTGGGGCTGCTTGCCACATGAACAGCAGAGCCGAGAGACCCAGGAGCAGAGGGTGAGGAAAGAACACAGGCCCCTTCTGTTTATACCGTCTCTGCCCAGTTTCTTGACAGCTCACAAGATTTTTAAAGGGCATTCTTTAAACATCTCTGCTATTTAGAGTTGAGTTAGTATTTTACTTTAAAATATTCAATAAAATGATGTTGCTATCAGATGCATCCTAAAAAAATTAAAAGGCCAAGATTCCATTTCCTCTTACCAATATTCATGCGGTCAGCTTGTTCATTGATATATTTCACCTTCTCGGTGTAAATGTTTTTATAGCCATTTATAAACGAAAGGTAAGATTTGGGAGTCACATGCGCTCGTCGGCGGTACCTGAAAGAGAATGTAGAAATGGCCACCTCTGTCATCCTGGTGTTCATCCATCCAAAGTCCCTTCCTATCCTCATCCACTGAGAAGTTGGAGTGGTCCCCTTGAAGGGAAAGAGCAATGTCTCTCGCGGTCTGACCCAGAGGGGCCTTACACTTGACCTTGTCCCCTACTGTGAGTGACTATTTCCATATCAGGAAACCCCAAGAGAAGAATGTGAGTCCTGGCCCCTCCCAGAACTTGTAAAGATCCAATAAAACAGGGCATGTGGATAAACTTGGACAATTTTGTCGTTCTGCATAAATATTAGACAATTTTTTTAATGAACTTGTGTTATTATCTGCTTTCACTGAACTGCTATTTGTTATAGATCCCATTTGCTGCTAGATCCTGGGTGGGTAAGCTAACAAAGCAAAACCCAATCTTCTCCCCTGATTTGCTGAATTAGCTTTGAAATCCAGACAATGAGACACATTTGGTTCAAGTGTTCAAGTTGTTATGGCTTTATCACAGTAATTATATTCAACAACGGAGATAAATAAAAGGAAAGGATTCTACTGAGAAGAAACTCAAGTCACAGAAGTACTTTCTGCCTACTATGTGTAGTAATTGTTGACCTTTGGCATTCACAGTTAATAGAAGCAGAAGGAAGTTAAGTCAACTAGGAAGAAAATCTTCCTAACAGTGAGAAGTAATATACACCAACTCTCAGGAAAATAAGAGAGAGTATCTAGAATTATTTTAAAAAAAGAATTCTTTTAGTATGGTTCTAAGTAAAGAGAAAGGTCTAAGTTCAGCTTAGACTTCACATAAACTTTTGTGTATGTGTGCTGGTCCTGGGCTTTAACTCAGGGCCTAGGCACTGTCCCTGAGCTTTTTGCTCAAGACTAACTCTCTACCACTTAAGCCACACCTCCACTTCCATATGTTTTTTGGTTTTGTTTTTGTTTTTTGGTGGCTAATTGGAGATTGGAGTCTCACAGACCTTCCTTCCTGGCTTTGAATGGCGATCCTCAGATTTTTCCTAAGTAGCGAGGATTACAGGCCTAAGCTACCAGCTTCTGGCCTAACTAAACTTTCCAAGGTAGGGTTATCCCTTGAAAATGAATTGAAGAATTATCTAGGCCTTAGGCAGAAGGGTAGGCATAGCTTTTACAAGAGGTTCTGAAGCCTGTTAGCCCCTAAAGAGGAGTTCGCTCCTCTGGAGGCACTAATGAATCCATTTTCATCTACATCTGTCAGTCTTACTCAGTGACTTCAGCTTTGGCAGTACTGAGGTTTGAAAGCAGGGCTTTATCCCTGCTAGACAGGTGCTCTACTATTAAGCCATACTAGTCCTTCTTTGCACTCGTTTATTTTTGAAATAGGCTCTTACTTCCCACTGATTCACCTATTTTAAGCTTCCCATCATAGATGGGATGATCAGAGTACACATGCTCAGCTTTTGGTTAAGAATGTGGTCTTGCCTGTATGTTTGGACTGACCTCAAACTAGGATCCTCCCAATTTTATCCTCCCCAGTAGCTTGGATTACAGGCCTGAGCCACTGCATTTTTGAAGTGAAAGCCCTGTATTTTTGGAGTGTTGGCAGCAGCTTTCACAGAATGAACACACCAACACTGCTCTTCATGAGCAGTTTTCCTACAGTCACTCAAGATTTCTGTTTCATAATTATTTGGCATAAAAACATTGGTAAGACTAAGTTATGCAAATACAAAACCTAAATGTTCCCTTAACATAAGGCAATAAAGAAAGTTAAAAACACTGGACTTCTTTAATCAAAATAAATAATGCATCAGAATAAGAAACTAATTTTGAACAGTTTATAATGCATTAGTTAAGTCATTTTCAAAACAAAATTAAGGGAGTGGAAGAGGGAGATGCATTAAGCATCTGTTACTTGCAGGCCTGGAGGATGAAGAGGTATTTAAGTGTGGACACCACTTAATTTTTAAATCTCATTTATTTGCCATCTTTTCAATATATAATCACTAGCAAATCAATGCAAGACAAATCGAAATGCAGCTGGGCTTGCAGCTCAGCCAATAAGAAGAGCCTTTTACTGGATATTACATTTTAATTTCTCTTTGGAGGGAACTTGGTGGCTCCAGCAGCTCAGGGCTTATATATGTATGATCACGTACCTTTGGAAATAATTTTCACAGCTCTCAGAAACCAAGTCATGAAAGAGGCCCATTGTTTCTACAACTTGCTTTTTAGTTTCAAGAGAGCAGACGATATTATATTCCAGCAGGAAGTAGGAGGACACGGCCACCAGAGCCTCCTTCGGCCAGCGGCTGAACCAGTCCATTGTACAACCCGATATCAAGCCAGGGAATTTCAGAGAACGAGCTCGAAACTTCTCACCAACCTATTAACAGCAAAGTCAAAAAGCATTAGAAATCAAAAGGACCCATCAGCTAGAGAGGCTGGCTACATAATCATTTGCGTGCGTGCATGTGTGTGTGTGTCTGTATATCTGTGCATGCGCGCGTGTGTGTGTGTGTGTGTGTGTGTGTGTGTGTGTGTGTGTGTGTATCTGCTCCAATACTGGAAACTGAATTCAGGGCCTGGGCATTCCCTTTCCTTTTCATTTGAGGCTAGTGCTCTACCACATGAGACACAGCTCAGCTCCATGTGTTTGCGCACATGTGTGTACGTGATATTAACTAAAAAACTGCAAATAAGAGTTTCATGTGCTTTCCTGTCTGGGTTGGCTTCTGAGTAGCTAGGATTACAGGTATGAGCCACTGGCACCCAGCCATACAATAATTTCTAATTTATGTCCTGATAGCATGGATATTTTGTTACCACACTGATATCAAGATTTTGGACAGTGGAGATGGAAGGTAGAAGTATTCATTAATATTTTTTTGGGGGGGTCCAGTCATGGGGCCTGAACTCTGGGCCTGGGTGCTGTCCCTCAGCTCTTCAGCTCAAGGCTAGTGCTCTACCACTTGAG